GCTTGCATATCCACCACATGAGTATGGCTTCCTACGCATCGCCAATATCTCATCAGACAACAATTTCGATGTGGTGCTGCGCTTTAAGACCCGCCAGCCGGATGGAGTTCTCTTCTATGCCGCCAATCATGACCAGAGCTCAACCATTGGCCTCACTCTGGACCGTGGATATCTGACGCTACGCAGCATGGGTACCGAACTGGCCATTGACAGTCGGCAGTACGACGATGGCGAGGATCATGTGGTCACCGTACATCACGACGCCGATCAGCTGCGTCTCTCCGTGGATGACTCCGAAGCTAAGCGGTAAGCCAGCCAAATCAGTTAATCTATAAATTTGCATTTTTTAATTCCTTTGCCTATTGTTCTATGTCAGGCGGGCCATCAATGAACCTCTTGAGATAAAGGGGGGCGATATATTCTTTGGTGGACTGCCAGATAACTATATACCACCGAAGGAGGCTATCTCCACTACCGCGTACTTCGTTGGCTGCATCAGCGATGTCACCGTCAACGGGGAGATTATCAACTTTGCGGACAGTGCTGAGAAGAAGAATGGTAACATCAATGGTTGTCCTCAGGATATTCTAGGTGAGATCCTAATGACTTCTGCTATCTTTAGTCGTGTATTTTCACACATTTCTCTATGAATCCTTGCTTAGCTTACGAGCCCAGGTATTTGCCTACCTACTACCCAAGTGGAGCCAACGAACTGGAGCCGCCCGAGCCGCCCAGAAAACCATTCAGAAACGACAACGTGGACATGTTTATGATTCCGCCTCCCGAAACTACAACAACTACAACATCAACATCGACGTCAACAGCAACGACGACGACGACGACAACGACAGCCCCACCAACTGTTACAACACCGATTACGAAAGAGGCGCCTATAAGGGATAAAGAGCCACTGCCGCCACTGGGTCCGCCCACCACGCCAAAGATAATGATAGGCAAACCACGACCGCCACCAATCCTCAATGTGCCCAGCGATCCCAGCTGCAAGATGTCCGTCAATCCCAACTATGATGTTGACTTTGTGGAGGCCGGCTATCGATTCTACTCTCTCAAAGATCAGCGCCTCGAATTCCAAACGCTACCGGTTAGACTGCGCAAACATTACGATATTAGCATGTCCATACGCACCAGCTATCCCAATGGACTGCTTTTCTACGCAGCAAGCCAGGAGAAGAATGACTTCATAGCGGTCTATTTGTCTGATGGACGTGTATACCATCAGGTGAGCGTGGGTGCCACTGTCCAAGCAAAGATAATCAGTCAGGAGGACCTTTTCGATGGTGAATGGCATACAATCGAGTTTGTGCGCACCAATCGCAAGATTAGCCTTAGCATAGATGGCGTTGAACAGGAGGGCTCCGTGGAGCTGAACAATGATCGCACGCCACCCAATTTATCGGTTGAGCTGCCCGTTTATGTAGGCGGCATCACCAGATATTTGGAGCAGGATCTCAAACGCCAAACCGAATTCGGCGGCAATGCCACATCATATTACAATGGCTGCATCAGAGACATCAAGTTTAATGGTCTGGCTTTGGAAAGTGAGCCGATAGTCCATCAGGTGGTGCCTTGCTCCGAGCAAGTGGAGCACGGCCTATACTTCCATCAGCCGAACAGCTATGTGAAGCTCTTTGAGCGCTTCTCTGTGGGGACCGAAGTTACCATTAGCTTTGACTTCCGACCACGTGATCCAAACGGTTTACTGTTCTCGGTGCATGGCAAGAACTCGTACCTGATTCTGGAGCTGGTTAACAACACGCTTAGCTTCATCGTCAAGTCCGATGCCAAGAATACGATTGGTACCAACTATACGCTGCCAAACAATGCCAGCTACTGTGATGGTACTTGGCGCAATGTGCAGGCCATCAAATCCAAGTTCGTCATCACCATTGCCGTAGACTTTGTCAGCTCTGGTCCGGGCGTGGGCAATGAGGGTTCGGCATTCACCAAGACGAATCGTCCACTGTTCATGGGCGGCCATCATGCGTTCGCCAAGGCGCCGGGCATCAAGACCAAAAAGACCTTCAATGGGTGCATCAAGAATGTGCAAATCAACAAAAAGGACGTGACCATAACGCCAAATCTTGTCTTTGGCGATATTTGGCAAGGTGTTTGCCCCTTGAACTAAACCGTCAACAAATATAATTTGCGACTCTGGACTTCGGTAAAGGACACACGATTTGAAATACCGTCATATGGTTTAAGTAGCCAACGTGGAGAGATGACAACATCTGAAATGAAATGAAATGAAAAGGACTACGAACGAACAAAATACGAACAATATCGACGGGCTGTCGAATGATCTGGGAGTTCTATATAACAAGGACTAACAGTATAGCTAAACGTCGTACATATTTCTAATATATAAGTAAAAATTTGTGCCAATAATCCGTAATATCCATAATTTGTTCAGATATCTTGTAACTTTGAAAATATTCCTGTCAATTGCTTAAATAAATATTGAATCAACAACTTAATAAAATACATACTCTTTCGGCTAAAATAACTTTGCTTAATGAAAAACTATTTCATTTAATGATTATGTTATACATACATATTTATTCAAGTTTCTGATTAGGTTACACATGTCTCCGTGGAGAACATTGAATGCGCAAGTTTCAGCTTTTAGCAGAGCGACAATAGAACTTGACAATCGTTCAAATTTCAGTCGATTGGAGTCTCTGAATTCTAGCATTTCCAATATTCTATTGACACTGCCGTGTGCTGTTCATCGTTTACATACTCATATTGTGTAAAGATCTTGCTATAGTTTATACATTAATTATTTTGGTATACATATATACATGTGTTGTACATATGTTTTTGTAATAAAATTGTGTCGTTTCGATAGTGTGAAGTTTACAGGAAGAAATTAGTTTGCAAAAAAAAATTTTGACAGGGTTATATACCTAAGAGTTCCGTTTAAAATAGCCGGTGTGCTTGGTTATATGTGTTAGTGTGTGTTCTAAAAAGAATTCTCATTAAGAAGCCAAGAAATTTTCATATAATTCTGGTTTCACTGTTTTGAATGAAATGAATAGTTTGAACGAAAACCTAGTATGCATAACCTAGAAATATTGTATATGCCTATATATATATTCTATGTATTGTGTGTTTGTATGTGTGTGTGTTTGTGTGTGTGTGTGTAATTGTTGCTTTTTATTAAATTTATACGTTTTGTTTTTAATATTTTTTACTGCTTAATCGCTAATCACTAAGATCACCCGAGAGAGATACAAACGCACGCGAACGCGACCGAAATTCCGCGATGAATTCGGTTTAAGGTACAACGAAATCACGATTTTTCTTTTAGTTTTAGTTTTGCTTTTGCTTTCAGTTATTTTGAGTTTTCAGTTATATGTTTGATTCCATGTTATTGGGGACTCGGGGGCGAAAGTCCCTTATTTTTAATTTTATATATATTGTATTTAGTTTTCACGCGACGCGAACGAACGACCCGAAGTTACATTATTATCACACGTTCCCCCTGTTTTCTTATTTCTTTTTTTTTTTGTTTTTTTTTTTTTTTTTTTGGTTTTTCAAAATGAAATAAAAATACAAACTGCGCTTAACAGTTTGCACATAATTAATACTATTACTTAGATTTACTTTGTTTTTTTGAGTTGATTTGAGTTAAATTTGTTTTTGTTAGATTTTGATCCGCGACAATTTCAAAGACTTTTGTTTTCCGTTAAGTAGTACACTTTACACCTAATCGTTAAAAATTTGTTCTGTACATACATCATAAATAATAAGGTAACGCGTACCAGAGGAAACGTCAAAACAAGTCTATGCAAGTTATAGCAAAAGTCTGAGAAAAAAAAAATATTTAAATATGTTCCTATACAAAAATTATATAATACTTTAAAAATTGAATCAGTCAATCAGTTGCTTGGTTTTTCTTCTTTTTTGTTTAACATTTCTTAAGGATCGCACAAAATAAATATCATATTCAACGGAATTCTAATCTCATATTGTTAATTTAACAAAAACAAAAAAAAAATTCTCTAAATTGCATAGCATATAAATATCAAGTCGTATACATTATAAGTAAATTTGTATCAGTAACAGTTGCACTCTTATTATTTATTAGTTTTTTCTTTGTTTTATTACCCGACGATATACGATACGATACGATATACGAGCGAACGAACGAACGAACGAGCGACGATAATACGCGAACGCGAAACCGTAAAACCCGAACCCGAACCCGAAAACCGAGACGCGACGATATTTTTATATATTTTCTATTATTAAAAGTGTTGGGTATAGTTGTGAAAATCATTTGGTAGATGATGAATGCTTGTCTATGGTATTGAACGGAGTTATTTTTTTTAAAGCCATCAGTCTTTGTTGATATTAAATATTTGTTATATTTCTGCAGAATTTTGTTTAATATTTTAGCAAACTTTTCTTTTGATTTTCAATTCACAATTAGCCCAACTCCTTTTTTTTTTATTTAGTTACCGGTTACGATTGTTGCTTTGATTTACGTTATATCATTATTATATCATATTATAATATATGCGAGACGGACCGCAATATCATTTTTAGCTTACGTTGAAATTAAAATTACCAATAATTAGCGATAAGTAAACACAGTAAATAAGCATATTTAACTGGTTATTGTTGTGTGATTAGCATTTCCAAGAGCTTGTTGAGAGTATGTGTTTTATGTGTTTTCTATAGCTATAGCACTGGTTCCGGCATAAATACAGCCGGAACACAAATGTATTTAAGTATAATTTGATTTGCAATAAGGGTATGCAAAATATATAAAGAATTGGCTACTGCGGAGTAGACTGACAATTTATGTCCAGATACAAGAGAATCCTACTTTTGTCATATAATTGTTGCGTTGCCTATATGTTGATGTAAATGTACATGCATATACACATATATATATTTATAAGATTATATGCATATATATATATATATATATGTATATGATGATATACCTATTTGGGTTAAATGTTATGTAGTTATATGTGTAATTTGTAAATGTATTGTATTAGTTTGCTGTTTGCTTTTTCGGCGTTTTGTAGTTGACTTTATAAGTTGAAATTCCAAATATTAATGTAATTGAATTATTCGAACTGCATCGAACAAGCCTAATTAAACATTTGTCTGCTAACTGTGCTTACACTAAGTTTAAAGACGACGACACGCTTACTTGCATACATAAACATAATTGTCTAGTTAATAAGTTGCTTATGGGTGTGGTATGTGGACTGTTAGTGAAGCCAATGCCACCTTATATGTTGTACATTGTAACCAAACGTTCGGCTAGAGTTGGCGGGAATTGATCAACAAATCGACGCCAATTCTCTTCACCAACTTGTGTCTTGAAGCCGTGTAATATCTGTTTAAGCGAATTCAAATCAGTTAAACCGTTTTCAATTGAATCAACAAGACAAGGCACATACCTTTTGTATCATCTGATGCAGATCTTGTGGCGGATTTACCCATGATGCTATTGCATCGCAGAAGAATATAAAGTCAGGCACAACGCCAGCTGGATTCACGGTGATCATGTGGCACATGCCACGAAAGGCCGAGTCCTTTTCGTCATTATCTCGTATGTGACGCAGCGATGTGCACCTGTTTTGGGTATATCATGCAAAAAAGCATTAAATATAACATCAAATAGCTGAGTATGCCATAGGCAAACACTCAAATGGAAGCAAAAGATTTAAAAAAAAAAAAACAATTGGAAGAAAAAGTAAGGAACAGCACAAAAGAAATTTATATATTACAGAAGATCAAAAATTACTGTAAAAGGATATTCTGTTGCGTGTTCTGAATTCTTTAAAAGCATAATTTAAAGTTTTAGTTAGGAAATGCAATAAGAATAAGATATATAATGATAAAGTTAAGAATGAAAAAACTATATTTGATAAATGTGTTACACACCACTGTCGTACAAATTCGGGCAAATAAGGAGCCACTTCAACTGGGCACACATAACCTAGACGACCGATTGTTATTGCTAAAAGAACAGAAAAATATAAATAAATCAACTGAATAAATTATATTACATTTATTTTATGGATTTGTATTTGGTATTTGCTTGGTTTTTAGTGTGTTTTTCTATTGCATCGATTCGTTTTCAATTAATTACACACAACGAAAAGTTGAACATTCACAAGAACTTACAATACACAATGATGGTGTGTGATGTTCATATGTTTTGTTTATTATTGTTATTGTTGTTGCAATTGGCGACAATGAGTCACATGCAACGTTAAATGATACCAGAAATAAATGTTTAGATAGCGCACATACATATGTACAAACGTACGTACACACATACGCACACAAACATATAAATATTTCGCATATACATTGCATACAGCTTTTATAACGAATGCACATAGCACACACACCTTATTGCCTCTACTCACCTGTATTCTCCAGCAGCGTTTTGGGCGTATTCGGGCGATTGATGATAATGAAGAGATCGGTTAGTACAAGGTGTATGTATTGCTTAGTTTCCTCTCCTAGATAACATAATAAAAATTTCATATTATTTAATTGCTCTATTCATAGAACTTATATACTGTATAAACGTAAATATTCTGTTTACATGCTCAAACCGTATAAGATTCACAAATAAAAATCTTGTTTTATGTTATTTTTATAATAAATATTGTCAAGGACTCACCCAATTTCATGCATATTTCGCCAATAGCCCATGTCGCATTGTTGCAGACAGAAATAAAATCGGGATTCAAATTCTGACCCAATATGGGAAAGAACTCGGCCATAAACGGATGCACATGTGGAAAACAGGCTTTGGTCAAATCACCGAGCAGAGCAAACGAGGATTGGCGCACCTACAGCAATAACAACAGCAAAATTTACTAATGCTTATAAGATTTTGCAAATATATGAACTTACTTCCGGCAAAACATCCTGCATACACTGATAAAGCAGATGCATAATATTGCTATTAGCTACCAGAGTTTCAATGTGTCTGTCCAAACCCTCGGCCAAGCCAGAGAGTAAATCCAGAGCAACAATCATGCGTTCTTTATCGGGATGATCAAATGTGTGATTTTGCTTGCAGAGCTAAAAAAAAAAAAAAATAATTGTCTATCTATATTCAAATATATTTTCAGGATGATGACATACCATCTCCTGATTGATTGTCTGCTCAATGAGCGATATGCATCTTCTATAGACGGGATCACAATAGGGCAGAAAGCCCGATTGCAGGGCAGTTGCAATGCTGGACAGGCATTCAAGCAATGGGAACAGATCCTTGTCATCGTCTTTTAGCAAGTTCCATTTGTCAATTAGTGGCGGCATTAATATATCAATATATTGTGGCTTGTTTAGATGGTGACCCACAGAGTCAGCCAAGGTGCCAACAGCATCATACAAGATCAATAGATTCTTGTGTTGATACTTGGAAAAGGCGAAAACGAGTGTTTTTAGTATATATTCCAAATATGGAACCAGTTCGGTGCAAGCTTCCTCCTCGAGCGTGGCAAACGCCGAGCAGGCGGCCTCCTGCACACGCTTATTTGAATCCAGGATACGCTTGAGCAGCTCCTCCATAAGTGGTTTTAGGTATTGATCATGTGGCTGATTGACAACCCAGTTAGCGTAACGCGAGAGAGTCCAACAGGTGATGGAGCGCACCAGCGCTTTCTTGTCGGACAAGCAGCTTATCAGATATGGTATCAATTCAGGCAGATGCTGAATCATACCCTGCATGCAGCCCTCGGCAATGGCGCCGAGTGCCAACACGCCACTCTCCTTGATAACCCATTCTTGATGGAACAGCGTATCCTTTAAAATGGGAAGCACAATGGGCAGACAATCCTCGCGAAATACATTCGCCAATACATCAAGAGCGGCAGCGCTGCACTTGCGCAAATTCCATTCAGATAGCGAGCTATCATCGTCCAAGCCATCATCGAATTCATCTTCATCCTCCTCGCCACCGGACGCCTGGCTAACCTCACCACTTTTAATGGTGTGTGTGCGTGACTTGTGGAAGCGTGGACGTATGTCCTCTTCGCGATCCGGCACCATGTCATCCTCCTCTACATTTCCCTTAAGCAGAATAATATCGATCTCAGAGTATCTCATGCCACGCACCAACACAGGCGCCAGCTGGGCCAAATACGGTGCTAGCACATCCTTGCAAATACTTTGTTCCGCTAGCGACAGCCAAAACTCGGACGCCTCCAGGGCTACGCCCTCATCAGAGTCCTGTGTGCGCAGCAGCATATACTAAGCAAAGACAATAAAATACACAAAATAGCCAAGTTAAAGCAATATTGTAGACCTTATCCTAGTTTTAATTGCTTACCTCAATGATCTGCGACATGTGGGGCATTAGTCTGTCCATTCGCACTTCAAGCAGCATGACTAGGCCATGGCAGACATTTTTGCGCACCTCATGATCTTCATCCGACGACAGATTGAACAGATTTTCAATAAACGCATCAATGTGCAGCATTAGCGCCTGGGATCGATTGATAATGAACTGATTAATGCATGCAATTGCGTGAGAGCGTATCTTGGGGCTGCTATGTTTGAAGTACTGCAAGAACTTGGGTATCATCACGTTCAGTGGCCTGTTGAGAGCAGCCGAGTCTAAGATTTCAGCTGAATCCTCGCAAATCTTTTGCAAAGCACTGAAGGCTCCCTCGCACACATTGTAGTCCTGGTTATCAAGCATTTCGCACAACGATGGCAACAACTGTGGCCAATTTTGCAGACCTCCATTGCTGGCTATGGTGGTGATCAGAATACCGACGGTGGCGCGTATCAGGGGTGATGCATCGCCCACGGCTTGAAGGCATTCGTGTTTAATGTATTCAACAATCTCCGGCTGCAGATTGCTGCCATGCATGCGTATATTGTTCTTTAGTATTAAGCCGCTCAGCGAACGTGTGGGTTCATCTTCCGTTTTTAATTTTGTCAGCACATAGATCAAATAATTATTAAAGTCTGGGTATCGGTTAAATTCCTCCAGTTTCTAATGAAAATGAAAAGTAACTTGAGCTCTTTTTATTTGCTTATTTGTGCAGCTGGCTTACCATTTGGACTGCCATTTGAGTCGCTGTGTCTGGTGACTGAGATTCTTTTAAGATCCCAATGATCTGCTGAAGACCTTCTGCCTGGGGTTCCCACGTCATTTTGATGCAGTTTATGTGAGATGCTGAGATGTGCAAATTAATTAGATATACCGTCTAAATCAACCCCACCCATACTACGAGAGTTGAACGCCCTCTTAAAGGGTAGTACGAGGAACTTTGTCCGAGGCCATCTCTCTACCTCTCTACGCATACACACAGACACTCACTAACACACGCACACATGCTCAGTTATACAGACAGCGTGAAAAAACACATAATGTAATAACTACTTGAGGCCTGTCGCTGCCGCCATGTTCTTTGTGGTCGTTAAACATTATTTCGCTTCACCTTTTGTTAGCACTAGTGTACCTATTGAAACTTACCTTCAATAGTGTTGGGTGTGAATTAAAACTAATTTTGCTGGGTACACTTGATAAACCCCTTAATTTTCTCTTTTTCACTTTTCTGCCAGATGAATTTTTTGTGGTGTTTGAGTGTGACCAACTGAGTGACTAAGAGCATTTAGGGTCACATTCCAATCGATAACGATAAGAATAGAGTGTTGTAAAAGGTATTTATCTATTGTGAATTAAATGTTAAAGTAACGATGACAGCTGTGATTGCTAGTTTACTATGTTGCCGTATTAATTTTTCCTTGATTCTTATATAAATTCATATTGTGGAAAAAATACAAAGCATTGGTTTTTGCTACAGCATTTGTAAAGAGAAAATATTAACTTTATTAACACGTTTGATATTATGTTAATAGCAGTTGTATGTTATGTTAAATAACATAAAGTGCTTCTCTAACATAATTTAATCACTATTTGTTTGGGTTTGAGGCCAGACAGACAGGCCCATTAAATTTTAACAAAGGACCAAGTTTCAGGACATTCATCCCGGGGTCAACAAGCGTCAACGCCAGCCAGACGGTCAAGTGAAAGTTTTCTGCTAGTCGCATTTCAAGAGCAGTTGCGGCCAGACATGAACAAGCGCAACAACGTGAGTGCCGCCGCACACAAAGGAATAATTGAGATGCAATTAAAGTGAACATTTTTTACAGATTCGGCTGCCGCCAGAGGTGAATCGGCTGCTATATGTGCGCAATTTACCATATAAAATAACATCTGACGAAATGTACGATATTTTCGGTAAATTTGGTGCCATCCGTCAAATACGCGTGTAAGTGACTTGAACGTAAACTAAATTGAAGCATTTAATTAATAGCATTTGTAATTGCAATCATTAACAGTGGCAATACGCCGGAGACAAGGGGCACTGCGTTCGTTGTCTACGAGGACATTTTCGATGCCAAAAACGCATGCGACCATTTATCCGGCTTTAATGTGTGCAATCGCTATCTGGTCGTTCTCTATTACCAGTCCAACAAGGCCTTCAAGCGCGTGGATGTGGACAAAAAGCAGGAGGAGCTCAACAACATAAAATCCAAGTACAATTTAAAAACACCGGAAGCACCTTAGAAGCTGTTGTGCTGTGAGGTTGCGGGACTGCCAGTCGCCGCCGGATCATATGGTTCATTGAACTTTCCACATGCACTTCTATGTGCATATAGGTCTTAAAGCAAGCCAATTTTACAAAATTTTAACAATGCTCAAAACTGCGTAAACAATTTGTATTTTTGTACAACCATTTTGCTAGCTATTTGTCGAGTTTTAAAATAATTTCCATCATCATTCGTAACAACATTGAACATCATCATCAATCATCCACCATGTATCATGCCAATGTTTGGCACTTCAAGACACTTATTCAGCTTGAAGTTCCGACAATTGGCAATCATAGAACACATTAAAACAACTCTCATCAATATAACAAGCAAGTAAAAGTAAAAATAAAAAAAAAATTGTAAAACTCACATTCGATTGTTTGGGGTTGGAGGAGGCTTAACAATCAATGAAATTACAGATTTCATTTAAAAGTCGCAATTTAAATTTAATCACATCTTATGGACAACTATCTCACAGTTAAATATTAACCAGCAATAACATCTCCCATATATTATCGCACTTGGAAGCATATAGCACCCAATGTGCGCCCTCAGTCAGAGAACTCTTTGCTCTCGGTTTCATCTGGGGATTGTGTCTTCTCAGCAGCCGCTGCTGCTGCCTCCTGGTATTGCGCATAGGTATTTTGCTGCTTTTCCAGCATACGCTGCTTGGCCAGCTCCCGGAGCTCCTCTTTAGCTACTTCGGCGATCTTTTGACGCAATGCTTCAACTTTACGCCTCTTTTCACATTTTTGCAGTTCCTTTTCCCGAAACTTTTCAGTTATTTGTTTTGGAGGGTTTGCCGGCTTTGTTGGTTTATCTTCGTGCACCTTTTGGTGACGAATCAATGCAGCCTCCTGACGGAAATGGGTGCCGCAAGTCTTGCAGGCATACGGCTTCTCGCCCGTGTGTATCCATTCGTGTTGCTTAAGAGATTGTGAGTTGGCAAAGCGACGAGCACAGAAGCGACACTCAAAGTCCTTGACCTTCTCATGGACGCTCTTGTAATGTCGCTTCATGTTGCCCAAATTGTTAAAGGCTTGATTGCAGCCAGGGCAGAAATGCATGCCCTCCTTCTGCACAAGCTTTACTTGCGTTGCTGCATTGGAGGGCATTAAGACGGCGGGAATGGGATTCACAACGGTACCTGCCAATTGCGCAATGTCCACACGTTCGACACGACGCGGATCCCGTGGTATTGTAGCCACTGACTCGGCGCACACTTTCAATAGCTGGTCCGCAGCATCCTCATTTTTCGCCAGAGAAACAGATGCTTCACTGAAAGTCTGTTCAGCGGTTGGGTTTGAGCTACTGAGTTCCACTTGGCGCTGGCGGTAGGTCTCAATGGCACGATCAACACTCTTCTCGTGTATCTTCAGATGCTTGGTTAAGCTCTCTGTATACAAGAACTTCTTGCCGCACACCTTGCACTCGCAGCGCTTTTCGCCGGTGTGCGTCATCTCATGGATTTTGCATGCATGCGATTTCCCAAATGTCTTGCCGCAGTATTGACACGCATAATTTCGAACTTTCTCGTGCACGATCTTCACATGATTATCCAGCGCCCGCTTCGTGTGTGTAGCATGATCACAGATCTGGCACTTGAACATTTTCTCCTGTGTGTGCGTGAGAATGTGTTTGCTCCACTCTTGTCGCGTGGTTTTGCCGACACCACAATATGGGCACACATAGTTCTTGATGCCTGCGTGCCGCAGCAGATGGTTTTTAAGCGCGCTATTTATGTGAAAACCCTTGCCGCATATATTACACGGATAGGGCAGCTGCTGCCCGGTGTGCTTGTACATGTGTTTCTTAAGTGCGACTGGGCAGCGAAATAGCATACCGCACTCGGTGCACGGCTGCTCTGCCCGCGGCACACTTGCGCGCGACAAGTTGTGTACCTTTTTTAAATGAATTGTCAGCAGTCGCATGCGTGGGAACAGCAGCTTACAGTCCTCGACAGTGCAGGGAATTTCAGCGGCGCTTTTCGTGTGCGCATAGTCCACATGCAGGCGCAGTGCTGCCGCTGTCGTAAAGCCCTTCTTGCAGTTCTCCACCTGGCACTGAAAGGGCAACAGTTCGTTATGGTGCTTTACGTGCTCATCGTAGTTGACTTGCTTCTTAAATTTCTGCTGGCATACATGGCAGGTGATAATGCGGTGAAGATGGCGTTCAGCTGCGGGAATGCGCTTTCGTTTTGTCTTTAAGTTGGCCAGCCTCTGACACGTTGCTTCGCTATCCGTTTCGCTGTTCTGGTCTAGCAGGCGCTGAGCCAAGGGAACATCATCGTCGCTAAGGCTGGACTCCGATGAACAGTCGCTTGAAATTCGTTTAACAGCCTTGGTTTCCTTGTCAACGTTTTCCAGCATTTTAAAGACTTCCTCTTCGTTGTCAATCATCTCTAATTTATGACTTAGCAGGGGATCGAACTCATTGCTTGGCTGCTCATCCTTGGACACGAGTGCGGACTCGTTGCTGGCCACTGGCAGCGGTTCGTAAATGTCAACTGTGTTGACATCAACGATGAGTTTGCTGGCTACCATTTGCTTAAAGCGCTGCACTGAGGCTACACAGAGCTGCTGAAAATCATGGAGGTCGTTTAATCTGGCGAAGCAACTGGAACAGAGATATCTGGGATAGCCGTCTTGGGGATCCACCAACAAGGACGTGCATACTGTAAATGTCTTTGCAAGATCTGGCAATAAGAACAGGTCATAAACTGTACTGCTCTCGACATATTCTAGGCAAACGCGGCATATTGAATCAACAGAGTACAGTGTGTTTGTACTCATTCCAGAATATCAAGATTTTAAAGAATAAACAATTCCCAAATTGATTTGCACAATTATTAAAAGCGTTTATAGTGATGTACAAATACAAAGATCAAGCAAAACACAGTATCGATAAGGGCAATGGCGTATGCCCTGGCGAAATATCGATTATTTGCGCACATGTATAGGAGTAGCTGCTTGAGTAACCGATACTTGTACTCGTTCTAGTTGGCTGACGAGTATACCAATTTTTTTCGTGTCAATATTATTTTTTTTTTGTTGCTGGAAACAACCGAAAAGCAAAAATTTTGTGAGCATATTAAATATACTTCAAATTGATCAAGCACGATGGACGTGGCGAGGACATACTCCATACACACGCTGTGTCGCATTTGCCTGAACCTCTTGCAGAACGACGCTGCCTACGATTTGTATCTGGTGCCTGGCCTAGCCAAAAAACTTTGCCTGTGCACCTCACTGTCTGTTGAGCAAAACGATGGCTTTCCGAAGAACCTGTGCACTAATTGCTATACCCGGCTTAACGATATGCACGATTTTCAAAAACTATGCGTGGACTCTGTACAAAAGTTTCAAGATATGGTCGCCAGCAACGCCTTCACATGTCAATCGAACTTTGACGTATTGGATCCAAGCGTCTCGGCGCACGACATGCCCAACGAGGATGAGGACCACATTAACTTTGATCCGCTGCTGAACCACAAAATGGAGCTAATCGAAAACGAAGAAGATGTGTTCAAGATGCTCGAGGATGTCGACAAGGAGGCCGAGGAGGTCGAAAAGGAAGTCAAAGAAGATAAAAGAGAGATCAAAGAGACCATTACAGTAAACATGTACAACGAGGACTCGTCTTCCATTGAGAGCGGCAACGACAACGACAGGGACGTAGACTTTGAGCCGAACAGCAGCGACGACGACATTCCCCTAGCACAGCGCATGCGGGGCAAAGCCAAAACCACCCGAGCAGCCAAGTCCAAGCCTAAAAAGAAGAAGCCCACTGACGGTGACGACGATATGGATTTCAGTACATCTTCATCGTCAGAAGAGGACTCCGACGAGGACGGTGAATCTGGCTCGAGGCGCGGATCAAAGGAAAAGCCCAAACGCAAGCGCATTCCAGCTGCCGAGCGGCACTTGCATCGCATCATCGATTGTCATATTTGCCATCAGAAGTTCAAGAAGGCGATTCGCTACGAGGAACATATGAAGTACCACAACGATCTGTTGCCATTCCAATGCAAAGTGGAGAGCTGCAAGAAAGGCTTCACCACCGCCAACGGTTTGCGCATACATGTTGATCACGCGCACACCGAGCTTTCAGAAGTGCATGCTTGCAGTGTTGAGGGCTGCGGCAAGACATTCCCACGCGTGCGTCTGCTTACCTTCCACATGAAGAAGGCGCACAACATTTCGAAGTCTGCGGCTCCATTGCGCGACTTCCCCTGCACAGAGTGCAACACCGTGTTCCGTTGTCCGACTGCGCTCAAAAAGCACATGTACAAGCACACGGGCGAGGAGCTTCCATATCCATGCAACATATGCGGCAAACGCTTCGTGATCAACAGCGCACTCAGGGATCACTTGATGCGGCACGCGGGCATTAAGAACCACGTATGCCCCTACTGTGGCGTGGGCAAGACCACGCGCCAAGAATGGAACGCCCACATTCTGACGCACACCAAGGAAAAGAAGTTCAAGTGCCGCCAGTGCGATCATGCCTCGCACAACAAACAGGCTCTGTCCAACCACGTCAAGGTGGTCCACATGAAGATCAAGAACTTTGCCTGCCAGTATTGCGGCAAGACCTTTGGAAAATCGCACGCCTGCAAAGTCCACGAGAGAACGCACACGGGCGAGAAGTGTTGTGAGTGCAAGATCTGCGGCAAGATATTCCTTTGCGAGAAGAGTTTAACGAAGCATTTGAAGACGCATGAAAAACGTGATCTGCCGCCAATCGAAACGCATCGTCCGCTTAACATTCCGCTGCCTGGTGTCCAAATACCCAGCCATATGCAGCCCGATGGAATGATGCCTCCAAATGTAGCCGATGATTTGCTAAAGGCTTGTGGCGGCGGGCCCGCGACAGGAGCAGCAGCAGCAAATAAACCGAAAAATTCACGGCGCGTTCAGCGTGTGGATATATCTCAGCTGGCAGGTACCTCTGTTAATCCAATACCATCGGTATCGGTGCCATCCTGGTCGCCCCAGGTCAACTTTACCAAGAAGGAGGGCCAACACATTTGTCCCGGCTGTGGTCGAGGCTTCAACAATATTGGCAATATGAAACTTCACTATAAGATAATACACGAGAAGGTGAAGGATTTTGCTTGCCGCTTCTGTCCCAAGCGTTTTTCAAAGGCACAAATCTTGCGGCATCATGAATGGATCCATACCGGCGAGAAACCGTTTGAATGCAAGATTTGCGGCAAACATTTCCGGCAGGAGACGGCGCTAAAGAAGCATATTAAGACACACGACAAGCCCAATAGGCGCGTATATCCAGAGAAAGAAGAAGTGCAGCCTACCTTCCATAAGATCGAGCCGCGCGAGATCGATCGCGAGCCTAGAAATTACGATCAGTATCAGGATCCGGCCGCAGAGCGTGCTGCGGCCACAGCTGAGCTACTTGCCCATCAGATTGAGGAGAACGAGGCGAAGCGCAAAGCAGACATCGAACGACGGAAGATTCAAGAGGCAGCTTGCGAGCAGCTGAACAAGCTACAAAAGCAGCAGGAAATTGAGAAAGCGACCACGTCCTATGACGGCTACTATGCACAAAAGGCTCAAGCTGAGGGCCTCAGTGTGGACGCGCTTAAAATAGATCATGTTTAAATATCGGAACGGTGAGGATGAGACACTTTCAAAGCCCAGCAATATTTTATATATAGCTATAATTTTTTACAGCTCCTCAGTCTTATAAGAAACTATGATCTATACCCTCGAATTGCTCCATAATTGCTTATTGTGGCATGAACACAGTAACTCAATGTATTTTACAACAATATTAATTTTACCATACATTTATAAATACATATGTATTTTTGTTGTCTATGTACTGCATAGCATCTATTGCTTAATTAGAATAATGAAATTCATATAACGTACTTAAAACGTGTGTTCGTTTTGCTTTGCAATTTCTCCGAAAATGAATACTACCCTCAATCGTAGACACCTTATGCCGTAATAGGGTATTTTGTACCTTATATTTAAATACCCTTCCCCATCTTGGCACACACCTCATTTATGAGCTCGCAGTTATATACTCATACATACATATAAATTTAAAGCATTTCTAGTGATGCGCTTAGTTGTAACGAGTCAGCATTACACGAGTACTCGTTTAAGTAACCGATATCTAATAGTTTAATCCCTGAATAATCTGTGAAAAAAAACAACAGTAGCTCAAGGGTTAAATTGCACACACAAAATGAATGAGGAGAGGCAAATCTCCATTAACGAAATATGTCGCACTTGTTTATCAAAATTGCAACACGTTGCAGCCTATGATCTGTTTGTGGTTCCGGGTCTGGCCAAGAAGCTGTGTGTGTGCACTTCCCTCTCAGTGGAGCAACATGATGGGTTCCCAAAAAGCCTTTGCTCCAATTGCTACACCCGTCTAAACGATTTACATGATTTTCAGAAGCAATGCATGGACTCTCTTGATAAGTTGAGGGGCATGTTGGCCAACAACTACATTACAATCCACACCAACCAGGCTAACAGTTTTGCACCACAGGATGTTGATGTGGCTATCGAAGAAGAAGACCGCATTAACTTTGACCCGCTCCTAAATACAAAAATTGAGATAATTGAGAATGAGGAGGATGTTTTTAAAATGTTAGAAGATGTCGACAAAGAAGCGGAAGCAGAAGAGCCAGGCACGGAGTCCTCCTGTGAAAGCGAATACGAGAAAAATGACAACGATGTGGACTTCCAGGCGAATAGTAGCGACTCCGAAGATGCCAGGCCCCTGTCTCATCTACGAACTGCTGCTGTGGTAATACAAACAAATTCAACGGGCAGAAATATGGCTGATGATGAAGAGAATTCCTCTAGCTCTGAATCGGACATGGATAACGCAAATATATCTAAAGGCAAATCGAAGCGCAAGCGAATTTCTGCGACTGAGCGACCCATGCAACGTCTTATCGACTGTCACATTTGCCATCAAAAATTCAAGAAGGCAATTCGCTATGAGGAACACATGAAGCATCACAACGATCTTTTACCATTCCAGTGTACTGTGGAAACCTGCAAAAAGGGTTTTACGACTGCCGCAGGTCTGCGACATCATGTGGATCACGCTCACTCGGAACTCTGCGAACTCTACGCCTGCACTGTAGAGGGATGCGACAAGTCGTTTCCTCGCACTCGTATGCTCACGCATCACCAGAAGAAGGTTCACAACATTATCAAGCCTGAGATCCGTGACCATCCCTGCACGGAATGTGATAAAGTCTTCCGATGTCCGACGGCGCTTAAAAAACATATGTATAAGCATACTGGCGAGGAGCTGCCGATTTCCTGCAACATCTGCAACAAACGCTTTCACATCAACAGTGAACTTAGGGACCATCTATTGCGACATGCCGGCGTGAAAAACCATGTTTGTCCCTATTGCGGCGTGGGCAAAACAACGAGACAGGAGTGGAATAAACACATATTGACGCACACCAAGGAAAAACAGTTCCAATGCCGACAGTGCGATCATTCCTCCCACAACAAACAGGCTTTGGCCAATCATGTCAAAGTGGTTCATATGAAGATCAAGAACTTTGCCTGTCAGTATTGCGGCAAAACTTTCGGAAAATCGCACGCCTGCAAGATCCACGAAAGACTTCACACTGGCGAAAATTGCTGTGAGTGCAAGATCTGTGGTAAGATCTTCCTTTTTGAGAAGAGATTGACCAAACATTTAAAAATTCATGAGAAGCGCGAATTACCAGCGACTAATGCAAATGCACAGGTGGACGAGACAATTCAGAGTTATTCTAATGTTAACCAGGAGTCCAAAACACCGGTAGACGTAAAACCCGGGCCAGCGTCGTTTGCTAAACCGAAGAAGTCGCATAGAGTTGAGCGTGTTGATATATCTCAGCTGGCCGGAACCTCTGTTAATCCAATTTCATCAGTTTCTGTGCCTTCCTGGTCGCCACAAGTGAACTTCACCAAGAAAGAAGGCCAACACATTTGTCCAGGCTGTGGACGTGGCTTCAACCACATTGGCAATATGAAGCTACACTATAAGGTGATACACGAAAAGATCAAAGATTTCGCATGTCGCTTCTGCCCCAAGCGCTTTGGCAAGGCCCAATATCTGCGTCATCATGAATATACGCATACAGGCGAGAGGCCTTATGGCTGCAAGATATGCGATAAACACTTTAGCCATGGCTCATCGCTGCGAAAGCATATGATTTCACACAACAGACCACCAAAAATTCAAAAAGCTCCAAAAACCACAACTCAGAAAAAAGAGCATCAGAGGCCCAAAATCGAACTTAACAAACGTACCGCAAAGAATTATGAACAGTACCAGGATCCTGCTGCGGAACGGGCTGCAGCTACGGCAGAACTGTTTGCTCAGCAACTCGAGGAGAGCGAGGCCAAACGAAGAGCGGAAGCTAAAACTCGTAGGATTCAAGAAGCTGCATGTGAGCAGCTTCAGAAGCTGCAAAGGGAGCAGCTGATCGAAAAGATATCCCTTGATAGCTTTCAAGTGGAAAGGTCTGAGGCTGGTATAGGCGTGGATGCTCTCAAAATAGATCATGTTTAAACTCTCAAGATGCTACATTTTGCAATATTAGTTTGTAAGATCTTTATCTTAATTTATTGATAATTCTTAATATTCCTTTGATAAGTTACTGCAAGTTTCGAAATGGTTTAAATTGTTTCAGCTTAAGACATGCAATAAATGATAGCACGCACTATAACAAATATATAGTGCGATGTAAATACTAAACCCTTTTTATAACATTTTTAAATTATAATTTAAAATATAAGGTCTTTGGCAACATGGGCAAGGATTAACGGCATCTACTGTCGGTACACATATGCGAAGCAGTACCAGAAGATGAAAAAGGCGACTCTATTACTATATATATGAATAAGAATATTCAAGCCAATTTAATGGTTAAGTTTTTATATATTATTCATATTTAAATTTTCGGTCAAAAATTAAATTTTTGTTTCGCCATAAGAATTTCCAGAGCTACTCAATTCGAGCTCGCACATGTAACGAGTATTTGTGATTACTTCAACAAGTAACCGATACACGAATACCTCGTTCCTTTCATGGACGCGTATACATAGCTCTTTCCATCGAAAAATACATGAAATTTGTATTAATTTATAATCTTATTGGGAGCAACCAGCATAAGCAAAAGCAAAATGGACGAGGGGAGTGAATACTCCATACATTCGATTTGTCGTATTTGTTTGAACCACTTGCGAAACGACCCAGCCTACGACCTGTTTCTAGTCCCAGGTCTCGCTAAGAAACTTTGTGTGTGCACTTCACTCTCCGTGGAACAGCACGATGGGTTCCCCAAAAACCTTTGCACCACTTGCTACACCCGGCTCAACGACTTACACGGATTTCAGAAACAATGTGTAGACTCTGTACAGAAGTTTCAAGAAATGGTCGCCAGCAAATACTTCATACCCGTCATGGGTACTGTTGACAATGACGATGTAATGAATGCTGCGACACACGATATGGAAACGGAGGAGGATCGCATCAACTTTGACCCGCTCCTTAATACTAAAATAGAGGTTGTGGAGAATGAGGAGGATGTTTTTAAAATGTTGGATGATGTCGACAAAGAAGTTGAGGAGGTTGAGAAGAATCTTTCCAGTGACGGAAACGGAAACGACAATGACGATGATGATGATGCCCAATTCGAAGCAAACAGCAGTGACTCGGAGGACGCCATGCCCTTGTCTCGATTACGAAGTGCTACGAGGGCGTCGAAAGCGAAGGCTAAAAGCAAAACTGTGGTAGATGATGACGACTCCTCAAGCTTTGAGTGGGGCATCGACAATGACGACAAAAAAGACAAACCTAAAAGGAAACCAAAACGTAAACGCATTCCAAAAGCCGATGTGCAACTTGATGATCCCATTGACTGTCATATTTGTCATGAAAAATTTAAGAGCACGAATCTTTACGACGAGCACATGAAGCATCACAACGATCTATTGCCATTCCAGTGCACTGTGGAGTCCTGCAAGAAAGGTTTCACTACGTCGGGGGGCCTACGCCTCCATATGGACCACGCTCACTCAGAACTCTCTGAGGTGCACGCGTGCACTGTGGAGGGATGTGGCATGACGTTTCCTCGACCTGTTTTACTCACGTTCCATCTGAAAAGAGTACACAAGATTATAACATCTCGTGCACGAGATCATCCCTGCACGGAATGCGACAAAGTTTTCCGCTGTTCAACAGCTCTTAAGAAGCATATGTACAAGCATACTGGCGAGGAAAAGCCCATATCCTGTAACATCTGCAACAAACGGTTTCACATAAATAGTGAGCTCAAGGACCATCTCTTGCGCCATGCCGGCGTTAAAAACCATGTTTGTCCCTATTGTGGCGTTGGCAAAACAACGAGACAGGAGTGGAATAAACACATATTGACGCACACCAAGGAAAAACAGTTCCAATGCCGACAATGCGATCATTCCTCCCACAACAAGCAGGCTTTAGCCAACCATGTCAAGGTGGTTCATATGAAGATTAAGAACTATGCCTGTCAGTACTGCGGCAAGACTTTTGGCAAGTCGTATGCCTGTAAGGTCCACGAGAGAATCCACACTGGCGAAAACTGCTCCCAGTGCAAGATCTGTGGCAAGGTCTTGCTTTTCGAGAGGAGTTTAACAAAGCATTTAAAGCTTCATGAAAAGCGCGAATTAAGAGCATCAGCGACTACTGTTAAGCCGCAGGTCGAAGATGATGTGCAGAGCACTCAGAATCCGAGCCAGGAGTTGACTGACATGAAGCCCATAGCAATTGAGCAGACCAAGCCGAAGAATTCCCATAGGCTTGAGCGTGTAGATATATCCGAATTGGCCGGTACCTCTGTCAATCCCATATCTTCAGTCTCTGTGGCATCCTGGTCGCCACAAGTCAACTTCACAAAGAAAGAAGGTCAGCACATTTGCCCGGGATGTGGGCGTGGCTTCAACCACATTGGCAATATGAAACTTCACTATAAGATAATACACGAAAAGGTGAAGGATTTTGCTTGCCGCTTCTGTCCCAAGCGTTTTTCAAAGGCACAAATCTTACGGCATCATGAATGGATTCACACCGGAGAGAAGCCGTACGAATGCAAGATATGCGGCAAACATTTCCGACAGGAGCAAGTAATGAAAACGCATGTAAGAAAAGTGCACGAGAATCCGGCGAAACCTCGCAAAGAACCTAAGCCCCAAAAAGCTAGTACAGAAAAGAGACAGAAAATGAATCTCAATAAAAAACCGCCTAAGATTCTAGACGAGTACCAGGATCCGGCTGCAGAACGTGCCGCAGCAACAGCTGCACTGCTCGCGCAACAGATTCAGGAGAATGAGGCGAAGCGAAAGGCGGAGGAGGAAGCTCGAAAGATTCAAGAGGCCGCATGCGAGCAACTGCAGATGCTGCAAAAAGAACAGCTTATCGAGAAATTGTCCAGTGATAGCTTTCAGGTAAAGAAATTTGAAACCGGTATCAGCGTGGATGACCTCAAAAAGGATAATGCTTAAATAAACACGGTTAGATCTACTCGGTAGGATAACTAAATTGGTTGGCAAAGCAATATTATTGTTTGAAATATGCTTACGCTTTTATAACTTTGTAAATAACAGTAACTTAAGAATAATAATGTGCGTTTCAAATTAAACATTGTATTCATTTAATTGAAGATATTGAAATTAAACCTTATTGACTTAACTTGGATGTCGCTCACACAAAACAAAAAGTAGATAAAATACGTTTATTAAATTCGAATTAACATTAAAGACAATTTCAATTTTATTGAAAACAACTATCGCAAACACTTTACAATCGAGTACTTTTGATTACTCGTGCAAATAGCCGATATTTAATTACTCGTTCCTTTCCTGAACGCATATATACAGTTTTTCTCATCGGACAGCGCTTGAAATTCTGAAAACTACACTTATCCGTAGAAAACACAAACAATGGATGGGAGGAGTGAATACTCCATACACTCTATATGTCGCACTTGCTTGAATCATTTGCGAAACGACCCAGCCTACGACCTGTTTCTGGTCCCAGGTCTCGCTAAGAAACTTTGTGTGTGCACTTCACTCTCCGTGGAACAGCACGATGGGTTCCCCAAAAACCTTTGCACCAGTTGCTACACCCGGCTCAACGACTTGCATGGATTTCAGAAGCTATGCGTGGATTCTGTGCAAAGGTTTCAAGAAATGGTCGCCAACAACTATTTTATACCCGACACGGGTAATGTTGACAAAGACGGATTAATAAGTGCTGCGGCACACGATGGCGAAACAGAGGAGGATCGCATCAACTTTGATCCGCTCCTGAATACTAAAATAGAGGTAGTGGAGAATGAGGAGGATGTTTTTAAAATGATAGATGAAGTCGACAAAGAAGTTGAGGAGGTTGAGAGGAATCCCTCCAGGAACAACGACAATGATGAGGATACGCGTTTAAAAGATGATAGCAGCGCCTCGGAAGACGCCATGCCCTTGTCCCGGTTACGAAGTGCTACGAGAGCGTCGAAAACAAAGAATAAACGAAAAATTGTGGTAGATGATGAAGATTCCTCTAGCCTTGAGGGGGGCATCGACAATGATGAAAAAAAGGACAAACCGAAAACGAAACCAAAACGTAAACGCATTCCAAAAGCCGATGTGCAACTTGATGATCTGATTGACTGTCACATATGTCATGAAAAATTCGATAGCACATCCCTTTATAACGACCACATGAAGCATCACAACGATCTATTGCCATTCCAGTGCACTGTGGAGTCCTGCAAGAAAGGTTTCACTACGTCGGGGGGCCTACGCCTCCATATGGACCACGCTCACTCAGAACTCTCTGAGGTGCACGCGTGCACCGTGGAGGGATGTGGCATGACGTTTCCTCGACCTGTTTTACTCACGTTCCATCTGAAAAGAGTACACAAGATTATAACATCTCGTGCACGAGATCATCCCTGCACGGAATGCGACAAAGTTTTCCGCTGTTCAACAGCTCTTAAGAAGCATATGTACAAGCATACTGGCGAGGAAAAGCCCATATCCTGTAACATTTGCAACAAACGGTTTCACATAAATAGTGAGCTCAAGGACCATCTCTTGCGGCATGCCGGGGTCAAAAATCATGTTTGTCCATACTGCGGAGTGGGCAAGACAACCCGCCAGGAGTGGAATAAACACATATTGACACACACCAAAGAAAAACAGTTTCATTGTCTTCAGTGCGATCATTCCTCCCACAACAAGCAGGCTTTAGCCAACCATGTCAAGGTGGTTCATATGAAGATTAAGAACTATGCCTGTCAGTACTGCGGCAAGACTTTTGGCAAGTCGTATGCCTGCAAGGTCCACGAGAGAATCCACACTGGCGAAAACTGCTCCCAGTGCAGAATCTGTGGCAAGGTCTTGCTTTTCGAGAGGAGTTTAACAAAGCATTTAAAGCTTCATGAAAAGCGCGAATTACGAGCATCAGCGACTACTGTTAAACCGCAGGTCGAAGATGATGTGCAGAGCACTCAGAAGTTTAACCAGGAGGTGGCCGACTCAGTGGACACGAAACCCATACCAAAAGAACAAACTAAGCCGACGAATCCTTATAGGCTTAAGCGTGTAGATATATCCGAACTTGCGGGTACTGCTGTTAATCCCATTTCTTCAGTCTCTGTGGAATCCTGTTCACCGCTTGTCAACTTTACAAAGAAAGAAGGCCAACATATTTGTCCAGGTTGTGGGCGTGGCTTCAACCACATTGGCAATATGAAACTTCACTATAAGATAATACACTTAAAGGTAAAGGACTTCGCATGTCGCTTCTGTCCCAAGCGTTTTTCAAAGGCACAAATTTTACGACATCATGAATGGACTCACACCGGGGAAAAGCCGTTTGAATGCAAGATATGCGGCCTACACTTTAGGCAGGAAAAAGTAATGAAGACGCATGTAAAAAGAAAACACGAAAATCCGAAACCTCGTAAAGAACCTAAGCCCCAAAAAGCTAGTACAGAAAAAAGACCGAAGATGAATCTTAACAAAACACCACCAAAGATTCTTGATGAGTACCAGGATCCGGCTGCAGAGCGTGCCGCAGCAACAGCTGCACTGCTCGCGCAACAGATTCAGGAGAATGAGGCGAAGCGAAAGGCTGAGGAGGAAGCTCGAAAGATTCAAGAGGCCGCATGCGAACAACTGCAGATGCTGCAAAAGGAACAGCTTATCGAGAAATTGTCCAGTGATAGCTTTCAAGTAAAAACTTCCGAGACGGGTATCAACGTGGATGATCTCAAAAAAGATTAAGCTAATATAAAACTAAACTAAAACTTAATTTTTTCTATAATCTGTATATAGTTTCTTTAACCTATTTTATACATAAAATTAATCTTGAGAGTAATAATATGATTCGGAATATCAATATTATTGTTCAGGACATTATTTAATTTTGCTTTTTATTTTTACAACTTGATTCAAAAATAATTATAAATAAAACAATATATTTAATAACCGGGTAAGTCTTTTCAATTTATCTAAGCTGCAGATTGCTTATAAATCAAATTTTAAAAAACAAATTGAAAAAAAAAACAAGTCGGTGCTTAAATAATATTATTCATTTTTAAATGACAGTTTCATAAAAGTTAATATTTTTATCAACATGCCCAAAAACTATCGGTACAATCGCACAAGTAACGACTTTTGATTACTCGTCCAAGTAACCGATACATAAATCAATCGTTCCTTTTGTGGACGCGTATACATAGTTTTTCTCATCGGACGGTGCTTGAAATTTTACTAAAATTCTCAAACTTATCTGAAGAAAAAACAGAATAAGCAAAATGAATGAGGGGAGTGAATACTCCATACATTCGATATGTCGTGTTTGCTTGAACCATTTGCGAAACGACCCAGCCTACGACCTGTTTCTAGTCCCAGGTCTCGCTAAGAAACTTTGTGTGTGCACTTCACTCTCCGTGGAACAGCACGATGGGTTCCCCAAAAACCTTTGCACCACTTGCTACACCCGGCTCAACGACTTACACGGATTTCAGAAACAGTGTGTGGACTCCGCCCAAAAGTTTCAAGAAATGGTGGCCAACAATTATTTCACACCCGTTATTGCTGATATTAATCAAATTGACAATGTCGACATACTGCATGTACCGCCGCCGGATGGAGAAATGGATGAGGATCGTATCAATTTCGATCCGCTTCTGAATACTAAAATTGAGATAATCGAAAATGAGGAGGATGTTTTTAAAATGCTAGAGGATGTCGACAAAGAAGTGGAGGAGGTAGAGAAGGAGAAGCAATCATCCAGTGAAAGCGAAGCCGACAACGACGATGATGATGGTGACTTTGAAGCGAATAGCAGCGAATCTGATGACGCCATGCCCTTGTCTCGTTTAAGAAGTAGTACCAGAGCATCAAAGGCCAAGGCTAAGAAAAATAATGATGATGAAGATGACTCCTCAAGCTCTGATTCGGACGATGATGATGATGACGATGATGACGATGACGATAAGCCCAAATCGAAACCAAAACGCAAACGCATTCCGGCCGCTGAGCGACACCTACATCGTCTAATAGACTGTCATATATGTCACCAGAAATTCAAGAAAGCAATTCGCTATGAAGAGCACATGAAGCATCACAACGATCTATTGCCATTCCAGTGCACTGTGGAGACCTGCAAGAAGGGTTTCACTACGGCTGGTGGTCTGCGACTGCACATGGATCACGCTCATTCGGAATTCTCTGAGGTACACGCCTGCACTTTTGAGGGATGCGACAAGACATTCCCACGATCTGTTTTGCTCACGTTCCATATGAAAAAGGTTCACAAAGTTGCCAAGGCTGACACACGAAATCATCCTTGCACGGAGTGTGAAAAAGTTTTTCGCTGCCCAACGGCGCTCAAAAAACATATGTATAAGCACACGGGCGAGGAACTGCCTTATGCATGTGAAATTTGCGGCAAACGTTTCCACATACACAGTGTGCTAAGGGACCATCTCTTGCGGCATGCCGGCGTTAAAAACCATGTTTGTCCCTATTGCGGTGTGGGCAAAACAACTCGACAGGAGTGGAACAAGCACATATTGACGCACACCAGAGAAAAACAGTTTCAATGTCGTCAATGCGATCATTCATCCCACAACAAACAGGCACTCTCTAATCATGTCAAAGTGGTTCACATGAAGATCAAGAACTTTGCCTGTCAGTATTGCGGCAAAACTTTTGGAAAATCGCACGCATGCAAGATCCACGAGAGACTCCACACTGGCGAGAATTGTTGCGAGTGCAAGATCTGTGGCAAGATCTTCCTTTTCGAGAAGCGATTGACCAAGCATTTGCAGATTCACGAGAAACGCGAGGTACCACCTCCGGAGACCACTGTTAAATCTCAAGGCGATGGCGACGCACAAACTACCCAGACTTTGAACCAGGAGTTGGCCGAGCCGGCGGATATAAAGCCCGTGCCAATTGTTCCTCCTAAGCCGAAGAATTCCCATAGAGTTGAACGTGTTGATATATCACAATTGGCCGGAACCTCTGTTAATCCAATATCATCGGTTTCTGTACCATCTTGGTCGCCACAAGTCAACTTCACCAAGAAAGAAGGTCAGCACATTTGTCCGGGCTGCGGTCGTGGCTTCAATCACATTGGCAATATGAAACTTCACTACAAAATAATACACGAAAAGGTGAAGGACTTCGCCTGCCGCTATTGTCCCAAGCGCTTCGCCAAGGCGCAGTACCTGCGCAATCATGAATATATACATACTGGCGAAAAGCCTTTTGAATGCAAGATATGCGGCAAACATTTCCGTCAGGAACAGGTGCTGAAGACACATTTGAAGGTGCACGACAAGCCGCCGAAACCACCAAAAGCCAAGAAACCGCCAAAGCCTTCTGTTAGTAAAGCAAAGGGACTGAAGGTTGAACTCAACAAAAAGCAACCAAAGATTTTTGAGGAGTATCAGGATCCCGCTGCAGAACGTGCCGCAGCTACCGCTGCCTTGCTAGCTCAACAGATGGAGGAGAATGAGGCGAAGCGAAAGGCGGAAGAGGAAACCCGTAAGATTCAAGAGGCCGCTTGCGAGCAGCTCAATAGACTCCAAAGGCAAGTGCAGAGTGAGAAGGGCTCCTATGATAGCTACTATGGACAAAAAGCTGAAGCTGAAGGCACTAGCATTGATTCTCTCAAATTAGATCATGTATAAATTGAAGCGGTAAGAATAAGTTTTGAGTAAGTGTGAGCAATTTTTTACATTTAGTCATTATGAATCTTACAGCTATCCCAGTCCACTTAAAAACCTTTATGAACTATGCGAATTCCTCGAATGGTTACATATTATAACTTTATCTGCTTAAACATTTCAAATATGTATTACAAAGTGAATTACTAAGTACGTGTTGAATTGCACACTTACTCTATAGGTATATCTTCTGACTAGCATTCAAATCACTAAATATTTTGACATTTAGTAGCTTAGCGGAGCAAACATCTTCTGGGATTCAACCAGGCTCCTGATAAGAAGGAATTACAGGCCTGCTGCCGTTCTTACCGAACCCAAAAGCCACACAGAACTCAGAAGCCGGTTAAAAGAATTAGAATATGCTGATGTCCTTGGAAGACAACGCACTGGGTACAATACTAAAAGTTGAAAAAACTGGAACCGCGCAGTCTACCAGCCCGAACCCTAACTGTCTGTGGCATTAAATTCAAAAATCTGCACGATAAAAGTACGCAAACAATACTTTAAAATCTTTCAAGTTATTTAGTTAAGCACCATGAAAATGACAACATGATTATTATAATTATTGATTAAGGAAATATATATTTACTCGTATATAAATATAAATATTTTCAATTTTCTGGCGTGTTAACACTTTAAATTGGGAGGAATGAATCTATTAGCACACATACATACATATATGTGCATACATTAACATATACATGTATATGCATATGTGTTTATATAGTTGATATTTAATGTAAGCTGGCGCTGAGCAGCGTAAGAAAATGTATCGATACACTTTGTATGAAACCGATTATTGAGGTACGATTATTTTTATTTAATATACAAATAAAGTTCATATCAGCAATTAATATTATTCAACGCTTCAACGATGATCTTCATTAACCCCACAACTACTTGATTAATTCTGAAATGTAATTCCGGCGGATATTCGGGCAACTTTAAATTTATATCGCTTTGTTTGACTCTGTTAACTGTTTCTTAGTGACATCGATTGGAAGTCATTCAGCAGATGTTAATTTAAAGTTTGTTTTGTTATTTGCCGCTTTTTGCAAAAACTAAAAGGCGTTCAATTGAATTATATTTATTAAACTATTGATGGTATAAAACTGCAATTAATTGCAACAGAAATGAATTTAATATTTTAACATCCGAAAAAAGGAAATATGTCCCCGCTGTTAATAACATAATATCAAGCTGTTAATTTAACAGACAACAGCAACGACATCCACAAATTCTTTTTCTGACGCGTTTTTTTTTCTCAGCAATTTTCAATTTACAACACACCGAAGATGAATGAGGGGAGTGGATACTCCATACAAACAATATGTCGCATCTGTTTGAACCATTTGCGAAACGATGCCGCCTACGACCTGTTTCTGGTTCCGGGTCTGGCCAAGAAACTCTGTGTGTGCACTTCACTCTCCGTAGAACAGCACGATGGGTTTCCAATGAATCTGTGCACCAATTGCTATACCCGGCTCAACGACTTGCACGACTTCCAGAAGCTGTGCGTGGACTCCGTGCAAAGGTTCCAAGAAATGGTCGCCAACAATTTGTTCACAACAACAGCTGTGCCCATTAACCAAATTGACAACTTTGACGTTTTGAATGTTGCGACACAGGATGCAGATTTGGCTGGCGAGGAAGAGGATCGGATAAACTTTGATCCGTTGCTGAATCACAAGATGGAGATTATAGAGAACGAAGAGGACGTGTTCAAAATGCTGGAGCACGTCGACAAAGAGGCGGAGGAGGTTGAGAAAGAAGTTAAACAAGATGTTGAGGACCAGACTGGCCTTCTCCAAATGTTTGGCGATGAATCTTCAATCGCAAGCAGCAACGACAATGACAACGATGTGGACTTTGAGCCCAACAGCAGTGACGGCGACGACGACATGCCCCTGGCCCAACGTCTCCGTGGGAATCCGAGAACAAGTAGTAAAACGAATATGAAAAGAGTTCCTGCCAATGCAGAGCTTGAGGACGACTTTAGCTCAGGATCGGAAGTAGACGGCACCAAGTCAAGAATGAAGCGCAAGCGGATTCCCGCTGCTGAGCGGCACTTGCATCGCATCATCGACTGCCATATTTGCCATCAGAAGTTCAAGAAGGCCATTCGCTACGAGGAGCATATGAAGCACCATAACGATCTGTTGCCTTTCCAGTGTAAAGTTGATACATGTAGAAAGGGTTTTACAACGGCTGGTGGTCTGCGACTTCACGTCGATCATGCGCATACGGAACTGTCTGAGGTGCATGCCTGCAGCGTTGAAGGATGTGGCAAGACATTTCCTCGCATTCGCCTGCTTACTTTCCATATGAAGAAAGTGCATAACATCTCGAAGGCTGCGGCGCCGCCAAGAGATTATCCCTGCACAGAGTGTGAGAAGGTCTTCCGCTGTCCCATGGCACTGAAGAAACACATGTACAAGCACGACGGCAAGGAGCTGCCATTCCCTTGTAATATATGTGGCAAACGTTTTGTGATTAACAGCGCGCTCAAAGATCATTTGATGCGGCACGCTGGCATCAAGAACTACGTGTGTCCTTACTGCGGCGTTGGCAAAACCACAAGGCAGGAATGGAACACGCACATCCTTACGCACACCCAAGAGAAGAAGTTCAAGTGTCACATATGCGAGCATGCCTCCCATAACAAGCAGAGTCTGGCTAACCACATCAAGATTGTGCACGAGAAGATCAAAAACTATGCCTGCCAGTATTGCGGCAAGACCTTTGGCAAGTCGCATGCATGCAAAATCCACGAGATGACGCACACCGGTGAGAAGCGTTGCGAGTGCAAAGTGTGCGGCAAGAAATTCCTTTATCCAAAAAGCCTTACGAAGCATTTGAAAACGCACGAAAAGCGTGTACTGCGTGCCATTGAAACGTATCGTCAGCGCCAAGTGGAACTTGGTGAAGTGTCCACAGGCACTGGCGAGCCATCGGATATTGCGGCAGCTGTTGCAGCCGTTGAAACACCGACGACTGCGGACGCTGTCGATGTGATAATATCCCAAAATGCTGCCGATGAGCTGCTTAAGGTGTGCGCCGAGTCGGTGGCAACGATACCCAGGGATCCAAGACGTGTGCAGCGTGTGGACATCGCCCAACTGGCTGGCACGGCAGTAAATCCAATTCCATCAGTGTCAGTACCCTCCTGGTCACCACAGGTGAACTTTACGAAGAAGGAAGGCAAACACATTTGTCCTGGCTGCGGGCAGGGCTTTAACAATATTGGCAACATGAAACGGCACTACAAGATCATACACGAGAAGGTAAAGGATTTTGCGTGTCGCTTCTGTCCAAAGCGATTCGCCAAAGCGCAGACACTGCGGCATCACGAATGGATACACACGGGCGAAAAGCCGTTCGAGTGCAAGACATGTGGCACACATTTTCGACAGGAGACGGCGCTCAAGCGTCATCAAAGAACACACGAAAATCGCCCACCCGTCATATCATCCAAGTTCTATGCAGCGCGCGAGGAATTAGAGGAGCAGGAACGCACGAAACGCGAGGCCAGACGCAAAGCTGAAGCGAAACGTAAGGAAATTGCGGAGGCCGCTAAAGAGCAACTCTCATCGCTGCATAAGATCGAGGCCACTGACAAGAATCTGCACTCGTATGATGAGTACCAAGAGGCTGCCGCAGAGCGTGCAGCAGCATCAGCTGAATTGCAGGCACAACAGTTTGAGGAGAACGAGGTCAAGCGAAGGGCGGACATGGAGCGTCTCAAAATACAAGAGGCCGCTTACGAGCAGCTGCAAAAGCTACAAAAGCAGCAAGAAATCGAGAAGGCACAAAGCTCCTACGACGGGTACTATGCGCAAAAGGCCAATGCCGACGGCACTAGCCTGGATGACCTTAAGATTGATCATGTGTGAGAGCGGATTGTTTGATAAGATTTTGAAAATGTTATCAATGTGTGGGATGCAAGGAAATATTTGCAGAAATGCAAATATATGTTAAACTGTAACTTTTTAAAAGCAATACTTTGTAATCCTTATAAATACGCCTAGGCTTAAGCAGGCTTACATCTAAGCATAGACATAGTGACAGTTTAATCTACCAACATATAATTATAAAATATATATTGAGTATGCTCTTTTTACATAGCATAGACCTTATTACTATTACCTGTTTTTACTCACTTCCCTTTAGTACAAACAGATCCTTTAAGCTATCCAGCGTCATATTATCTAGGTCCCAATGTGTTGATAATGTGGACTTATCGTCAGCCGATTTAATAAGCTTCAATATATTTTCCTCGATTGTACCATTTACAATGAAACGATGCACTGTAGTCGGTCTTTTGTGATAAGGAACAAAATATAAAATATCTGTTTTAAAGGTTTATATTACGTCCCTTTACTCACTTTGTTTGGCCGAAACGATGCACACGGCCAATAGCCTGCAGTTCTTCGCCAGGCGTTAGAATTGGTTCTACCAGAAAAACATGGGTAGCTTCGATTAAGTTCAGCCCTTTGGCACCCCGAGCCAGGGGCATTAACAAACATGTGACATTACGTTCGGGATCCTTTCGAGTAATAGAAAAAAAAAAACACATACATACAATAAATAATTAGCTTAGCAGAGTACCCACAAAATACAAACCTTAAACTCATCAATATCGCGAGTAGTGAATTTGCTGCGATATTCGATACCATTTTGGCTCAAGGCGCTGGCAATATGATTTAAAATGGTTGCCCATTGCGAGAATATCAGAATTTTTTCTTTATCCTTACTTTGCGATTTGATTTTCAGCACCAACTCGACAATGTACGCAATCTTTGTGGAAAAGTCGCCGATGACTTTGGAACTGTTGACACCCTTACGCACGGAATAGTATAGTCTGTAAATAAAAATAATTGCATTTAGAATCAAATATATGGTTATATAGTGTAACAACTTACTGTGGCGAATTTTGCCGACACAGTGGACACTTGGTTACGCTACCAAGACTTAACTTCCTCTTCATGGTGTCCAGACAATGTTGGCAGAGAAAGTGGCCACAGGACAGCATAACATACTACAAACGAGACTTTATTAAATATTATTTTATACCGGATTAAATGAGCAGGTTATTACACGTTCATCATCCTGTGTTTGGCAAATGGGACAGGGCTTGTCACCGTCATCTTCCTTCAAATGCTTCAAATACTTAAGACGGCCTGACAATCGCGTAAAGTTTAACTGCGACTCTCGAATGTTTGTTAAATTGAATTCCGTTTGTTCGTCTAATTGGTAGGGCAATATGCGAAAGTTAGATTGCTCCTCTGGGTCATTAGTGAGCAATATACGCATTTTACACATGTCCAGCTCATCAAACGTTTTGATTACGTATTCCACTTCAATCCAGTACTTAATTTGCAGCTTAACCAGGCTCTGCATAGCATCTAGAAAATCCAATTTATTTTTACATTCCGCTTTCCACTCGCTTAACTCGTGTCTGGAGCGCACAAAGTTAAAGATCACTGCAAATACATTATTGGATTTTTAGTAACCAAAGAATGGACTTGAACTGTGGCGTTAGGAACCTCTGATTATAATTATTTCGATGCTTGGATTCTCAGAGCCATCCGTTATGGTGCCCTCCTTGCCCAATTCCTTTGCAAACAGCAGGCATTCAAACTGATTGACAATATCACGAATCTTACATAGACGGCAATGTTTTTGCTCCTTTGGCTTTTCAATTGTTGTTGGCCTATTTGTTGGTTTGTCCTCCTGTAAAGAGGTTTTCGATTATATCAAATTATAAATTAAAAGCTTTGGCTACTTACTAAGATATCAGCCAAGTGGCAGTCAGACACATTTTTAATGAAATTAATCGTTTCCTGATTTAAGGCAATTCCCTTTTCTGCTGCCTCACATGCTTGGACCAGGATGTCGTTCAAAAAATTAAATTCTGTGCCTAATTTAGTATGCAGTTTCTTCAATTTTTCGTGCCAGTTGTGTATTAAATAAAGCAAGCCCGACATGGAGTTCACATCCTTTAACTTTTCCTTAGAGCAGTTTTGTCTAAAAAACTCATCGACAATCTTGTTCCACATTGCATTGTGCAGGGAGTCGCTTGTATTGATCAATGTGGCGAATAGGTCTAAAATGTTTGTACTGAATTGCTGCGAGAGCTGATCCATTTCTTTAAGCTTTAATTCATAGGCATTTCGTGCTGCCTGCAGCACTGTTGACTTGTCCTCCAAATATTTGCGCTCTAGCGTGTTTAATTTTAAGCGATATGAAGAGAGTTCCTGATCTGCCAATCGTTCCGTTTCTGGCGCCAATGCGGAAGCCTCCAGCAAGTTGTGCAATGCATGTATTTGGAGCAGGCTGTCCACGCTGTAAATATGAGGCTGTCAATAAAATGCTATTGGCAATTAGTCAATTCTTTATACTCACGATATGTTCTCCTCATTGTAGTCCTTGGCCAACTTCAGCACGAGCTTGTAGTTATGAATCGCCTGGCCATAATGCTTGTGAATAAAAAGTATGGCTGCAATGCCATTGTAGGATGAGGCCCATGTGCGCAGTTCACGCTTGCATTGCAATTCGTTATTTGATTTGAGATGTGCTAGGAGATCCTGCGGATTCAAATAGTTTGTGGTGGCCACATTATTGTTGAGCACAACTGGAACTGAGCACGTTTTTCGTATCCGCAAAAAGGGCTGTAATATAAGCCTCAGTAGTTTTGGCGAAATGGAAGCCAAACAGGAGCTGCTGTTGTTGGCATTGTGCTTTGTGTGCTTCGCAACGGCTGTCAAAAAAAGTTCAGTGCATTTATAATGCTCCTCCCGGTAATACAAGGACTCTACGTTGCTCAGCTCCAGACGATGCACGAGCTCTTTTTGTGGCGGTATACCCAGCTCGTCCTCCACTTTCGATTTACATGTGCGCCACATACTGTGCTGCAGTAGCTCCAGCAGCGGCGCAGCATTGTGGTTGAGCAAAAAAGAGTTAGTGACCGTTTGCCAGGCGTCCCACGGCTGACAAGCTTCCTGAAAGCCAATAAACTTCAATAGCGGAGCCAGATCGTCGATGGTGCGCTGTATTGGTGTGCCAGTGACTGCCCAGCGATTGATTGCCGGCAGCTCACGAACCATTTCCGCTACCAGGGATGTGCTGCTCTCAACCATTTGGGCTTCGTCCAGGCAGACGCGCCACCAGTTAACCATTAATAGCGGGGATCTTGGACGCATGTAACGCTGCTCAAAGCGCATCTCACGATCCGTTGTATTTCTTGGTGTATAATGAATCTCGTGCGTCAGGATCGAGTAGTCGGTCAGAACAATGTCATACTGGGCCAGTTGCATGGGGCTAACCCAGAGCCCGGAATGTAATCCTCCATAGAGCAAGACCTTCAATGAAGAATTTATATGCTTGCTGATTTCATGATACCATTGTGTCTTAATGGCATTTGGGGACACAATGATTGTAGCTCCCGATTCTACTAGCTCTGAACAGTTTGCTGTCGATTCTGTCCAGCAATTAGGACACATATAAATATCGGTGCCATCAAGTACACACATTTGGTGCTGCCACAGTCGACAACGTACGCACTGCACTTTCACCTTTTGGTGCTTTGAGTGCTTGCAAATGCAATGGACTTTATGTTCCGCACGCCTTAGCTTGAGCGGCACATTATCCTCAACATTTTCTAAAAGTTCGCTCCAGTATTTGTTGTTCACATTTGATCTGGAGTTTAGCAACATTGTGGCTAGCAGCTCGACAGTTTTGCCCAGGCCCATCTCATCGGCCAGTATGCCGCCCGGCGGCATTGAGATCGTGGGCATTGTGTTTTCATAGGCATAGAATTGCAGGCAGTATTTATGCTTGAACACTTGAAACTGGCTGTTCAGGGCCTTCAGGGCAGTGTAGTTGGCAGGAAATTCACTTGGCAGGCGCTCCCGACTCAGCATCCAGCTAACGGTACGTTCCTGATACTTTCTCAACTGCGACTTGAAACAAGACGGCAAGGACAGAGGGAGTGGCTCATCATGTTGCTGCTCCTGATGCTTGCAGTACAACGCGTTGTAAAGCTGTGTTGTCACATAGCTCTTCAGTTCACGTTGCCGCTGATGTTGCTCCTTGACCACCTCAAACTCCAAAGTGGGTGTGTAATTGCTAAACAGTAGCGGCAATATCTCAGCAGCAAGTTCCATGTCGAGTGTATTCGCCGAGTAGGCTGAGGCAGCTTCCCTTTGAAGAAATACCAGTGTAAAACATCCATTTTGGGCTTGAAGTGCTCTGAAGCAAAGCTTTTTGGTGCGCGCCTTTTCATCTATTAATTATTTAAGGGTTAACATTGTACAAAAGTACACCAGGATTGCCGCTGAGTACTTACAGTTGCTTATGATCCTTACTAGACCGTTTGCATTTTCAGTCAGGCATGTTTTCAAATGCCATTGTTTTTTGCCGTAAAAGAACAACAAGTTCGCATCGATTTCATCTGAGATGTCCAAATATTCATCTGCTATTTCACTTATAATAACGGAATGTTCTTCCATGTATTGTGGTTAATTCTAGCTAGTTTTGTGAAGCGCGTATTAAAATTGTTTACATTTTATCGATAAGTCAATATCGGGTTTTTCGATATTTTGACAATATTTTGCACTGGTTTCCAAAAGGGCATCTTTGCGTTTTCTGCACGCGGCCACACTGTAAACAGCGAAAATAAATAAGCTCGTGCCTGCTAAATAAACGGAGTTCCTGTGTAAACAAAAACTAGTTTGAAACAATACATAGATGAACGCTGTGATTGCGCTATGTCACTTTTGCGAAGCCCACGGTCCCTGCGCTATCTTCTGTACACAGACTTTGCGCGACACAAAAATCGAGGACCTTATTAATGTGGAGCAGCAACAACAGCAGGGCCAAAAGACTTGTTCCGCCTGCAACTACACACTGGGCCGTAACAATAGCAATGCCATATATAGCAAGGATACAGAAAGTGGTGCCACATTTGTGAGCACCAAAGTGGCTGCTCTACCGGAAGTGGCAAATCTTGTCAAGCAGGCAGCTGTGCGGAGCCTCAGCTGCGAGATAAACACAAACAAGGACGGCGACGGCGGCTTTGTCTTCTTTGGCGACTCGTCGCGCGGGCATATTCTTAGTCACACATTTCGTGTCAGCGATTTGCAGGCCCGGGGCTACTATCAGCTCTTCTCGATTATAGTTTTAATGAAGGATAAGTATTTTCTGCTGAACACCAAACCCTTTCTGGCTGAGCATTTGAGGAAAGTGTCCGCAGAACTGCAAGCAGGAGCACAGAGCACAAAGGCGTCCGAGGAGCTTAACTATTCGGCTCGACAAAGGCGTTTGTCAGGCGCCCAATTCCTTATGCCGACACCACGATCTCTGATAGAGCTGACCGGCGAGGAGCATGTGTTCGCACAGTTGCACTCACACTTTGCCTGGATTCTGCTGGCCGGATCACGCTTCCTTACCGAGCACGTCACTTTCGGCAATCTGCCGTGGCTACCACCGCAGAGCAGCGGTCGTCCACCGGCGCAGCGGCTCACATACAACAGCTCTACCCTTCCGATGATACAAATGTATGAGGAGAGCATTGATGATCCCGAGCAGGACGAGTTCTTCTCGTTGCGTCACATTAAGAAAGTGATACGCAAGGAGGACTTTGCCACCGTTTGCTACTGTGCCCTAACTGGCGTCAAGATTATAGTGCGTGGCGCGCCAGAGCGTACGTTCCGGTTCATGGTGTGCCTGAAGAAACTACTGCCGGAGCCCATGCATAATCTGATGCGCATTGATGCACAGCATCAGCACTCAATAAGTTCCGAGTACAAGATAATATCGGTTTCCAATGAAATTGCTGTACCAATAGCCAGCAGCTCGGTGTTTCGCATTGATTTTCTGGACAAGCATGTTAATGGCACGGATGTCGTCTCAGTCAAGTGGCCGGGCGAACTACCCCGCAAATGTAAGTAAACCGTTTCAAGTCAAGCACTGCTGGCTATAATTCCTTTCTTTTCCCAGTTCCAGATCTCATGGTAAAGCTGTTGAAAGCCGTCCAGGCAGTTGAGGAGAAGACGTTCACCGAGCTGGTGCTCAACAAGCAGACTAAGGTGCTAATAGAAGAGTGGAAAAAGTAGGTCCAAGAAATATCCATACGTAATCCTCGTCTACAAGTCCTTTTTTACATTGCAGCAAAGTCATTTGTCTGAATCATGCCAAGTCCGGCAGCGTGCAGGCCAAGCTGAAGAAGGTGCTCGGCGTACAGCCGCAAGATCAGCCTATTATCAATTACTGGAGCACACACTTGCACTAGCGCGACTAATATATTATTTTTATCCATATTGTACATATCAATTGTTTTTCACTTTTTGGAATAAAAGTTCTTTATTGCCACAATGAGCGCAACGTTTTCTTCCTCGATTGACAAATCAATATATTAACCAAAAAGCGACGTCTACCAATTCCACTTGCTGTTGTTTACTTCTTGTAACCGCAGCTAGAGCGACGACCACGAGCACGCTCGAATTTTCGTCCCTTGGATCGGACATAGGGGCGGGTGTGCGAGTGGGGCACACCAGGAGCCTTACCGAAGTGCTTGCAGGCAGTACGAGCGGTGCGTCTGCCCTGGAGCAGAAGGGTGTTCTTGCCGGTGGGCGAACGCAGAGCCAACTGATCGAAGGTCAGGACCTCACCGCCAGCCTTCAGGATACGCTCGCGAGCCGTCTGGGTGACATGCAGGGCGCACAGCGACAACTTGGGCACCACCAGGAGGCGGGCATCGTCGGTAACGGTGCCAACAACGACAATAGTCGACTCAGGCTGCTTGGCGGCCTTGAAGAAGCGAGCAATGCGCTGCAGCGACATTGGTGGCCGATTGGTTTTGCTCATAAACAAACGCTTCAGAACGATGCGGTTAAACTTCTTGTTTGTACGACGTTGCAGGAAACGGTACAACTGTGAAATGAAAAAACGTTTAGCTACACTGTAAATTCTATTAAAATCAATATAATTACCTTGACAAGCAAGCGCAGGTAGACATCCTGAGATTTTGGCTCGGTTCTGCGAACCTTGCGATCGTACTTGTGGTTGATATCAATACCCTGCAAGAATACATAAATATTATTACCAACTGTTGAATAAGCACGCGTTAAGTCATGTTTTTCAAACAACAATGGATATTTTTCACAAATATTTAAGATGTTTACAAATTATTTTCTAGGCTTATGATTTCTTGCGTCGTACCATTTCGGCGACCGGAAAAAGAAAGAGACGAGCAGTGACAGATAGCGATGGCTAAAATATCGATATATCGAATATGTCCAAAATATCAACTCGATACTTAAAATATGCCATCGTTTTGCAAGGCGATATATATAATTAAATTAAAATGGGAAACAATCAGATGATTTGCATGTAAGCATTCAGTGCAATATCTCCCATAATTAATAATTATATGAGTGTTGAATGGGAATCGAATAGACCCATTATCGATAACATAAACTCGTTTTTACATCTACCAGGGCTACACAATTACATTGATGAGGACTGGCAGCACTAAAATATTTCTCTTTCACAACACTAAAATAATGGCAGCGGTGAATTTACGTAAAGGTTTTGTTCTTGTGCCACAAAATGTGAGTAATATTGAATTTAATAGAATTAACAGGCACTCATTATTTAATAAACTCCCATTCATAGCTTGTAGCCAAACTACAGAGATGCTACGCTTCGTCAAAGCAGTCAAAGACAAACACACTGGCTGCCGTTGGTGAATCGATTGCTGCCAAAGGGTAAATATTTCTTTTAAATGATTGTAATTGTTATAATACGCCAATTCCTTACAGTTTCCTGCGTCCACATAAGCCATACGCACCTTCCACAGATGCAGCGGCAAAAATTCGTGCCGTTGCAGCCAGTTTGCAGATGGCCAACGGCGGAGACCAGCGTCAATTGAAGGATATGGAAGAAAAGTTCAAGTTCCTGGCGGCGTGCTTTCAGGAACTGCAGCATGATGTGCCCAATTCGCAAGTGCACGAGATGGCCACCGTTGGTGACGTGATCGCATTCTATGAGAGTGCGGTGGACACCACTGTCCCGCTAGATGCACTGAAGCGCATTGATTTGCCAGAGAATCTGCACATACAATATGAATATTTGCGCTTTCATCCGGATACGGATACCAAATTCAACGGGAAAACTGCTTTTCCAAAGAGCTCTACTCTGGTAACAGGCCTCAAGTATAGGCGCAAATATGAGGGACACGAAGCAAAGCGATCCTGGCCTTAGGTTTATTTGTTATTGCTTGTCGCTGATTATTATTAATAAAGTGTTCCGATCTATAAATATTGCGTGACTGTTTCTGTGAGTTCCGAGTTGTAAATGCTCTCCAGCGCACTCATAACCCTTGGATCTTGCAGCAGCTCCATAAGTCGTTTATCCTTTTTGGCCAAATCAAATGTGGGATACATAAGCTCGCTGTTGATCTCCGTCACCGCGGGCTTCTTCATAACACTCAGAATCTTCTTTTGCAGCTCCATTTCTGGATCGGGAGTATGCAGTTTGACCAAGGCATTAGCTTCACCCAACTCCCGCTTGAGCTGTTGCTCCCGCTGCTCCTCCAGATAATTAATTATGCATTCATACTGCAAACCTGTCAATGGATGATTGTCGGCCAGCATTTCGATCAATTGCTGCATTGCTTCCGGATGCCTGCTCTGTTTAGCGTGCAGCTGGGATGCGGTTACCGCGTCACGCTGCTTCTTCAATCGAAAGTCGGTGGCAATTAGCGTTATGGCATCATCCAATGGCATATTGCGATGCTCGGCCGGCACTCCATATAATATGTTGACCGTAATGCTATTTAGAGCTTCGTGCTGCGGCGTTACCAGAACTGCGTAGAGACAGCCTCGCGCTGATATGTTGCTAAGCACTTGGCTCAGCATAACATCCTCGTTGGGAAAGAGCACATCTACACGCATGCCACTGTTCCTCAGACGATCTTCAATGAACTCAGCGTACTTTCTGCGGATGGGCGTTAGGTTTAGCTACTGAGATCGGAGATCAACATAAATACTCACGTATTCTCGCGATTGACCACGATTATCTCGCAATCGTTAATGGGCACGACGGTAGCAGCGGCGGCAGCGGACATAACAATGCCGCCTTGAACTGCCATCGGCACACCTGCTGGGTTGTGTGCGTTTGGGTTGATCTTCTTGATGATTGCATTCAGCGGCTTTAGCTTTATGCTGGCATTCCGTACGGTTAGCGCCTTTGACTTAAACGTGGATTTATTTAACGCATTCGCACATTTGTTAGCGATTTCCTCGCTCTCAAATTGAACAAAACCGAAATTCTTCTGCACCAACGAACCCAAAACTTTTCCGTATGGATGACAAATGCTTTCCAGCTCCTCTTTTGTGCAAATGGGCAGGTTTCCAATAAATATGCGATTCTTCACCAAGGCTGGATCCCGTGCAATATTGTAGCCGGGAGCAGTGGCATCGCGTACAGCTGCCATTCTATCTCACTACTGTTCGAATTTGTTTATTTTAAAAACGCAACGCAGCTAAACAAATTTTTTCGTTGTAGTGATGGGCTCAGGGTTTCGATATCAGCCTTATATCGATAACAAAAATATCTACACAGCGATAAGATTGCGTATCGAAGCGCCGTTGTACAAATTATGAAATCGAACAAGAAGAAGAGCAACTGCTCTACCGTTAACAAATTAACAAAATGTTTGATAAGTTTATTGCCGCAATAAAATGTAATAAAAGAATTTAAATAGAGGATGAAAGAAATGTATTGCGATTTAGGCATGTATCAAAAAGCCAGCACCGCCATGTGGCGCGTGTGCTTCATGTTCCAGTTCAGGCTTTTTCTTGGGCACATAGGGATTATGCTCAGGATCGGCGTTTAAACTGTGTTCGATTGCATTTCATTATCATATTAATTATATATATTAGATTTCTGCTACTTACTGATAGAGGCTAATAGCCTCCTCACATTTCACATTGTACCACCAGTCGCAGGCGAATTCCTTCTGATTGAATATGGTGCCGTTTGTGCAAAGGAATGAGGCCCCCTGATGCCCCTCGCGGCCATCGTGGCACACATGATAGGCCTGGCAGCCTGTCTCCACATTCGCATACATGCCCGGAACAGCGGGCACATTGTGACAGCTGAATTGAGTGTGCGGAACTTCGTGGTAAATCGGATAGTCAACGCCTGCTACTCCCGGTATTTTGTTCAGATCCTGTTTATCTTCGCGCCTTTCATGATGCTCTGGTTGCGGCGGGTTAAACAAATATCCAAATTTCTACAGCAACATAAGTAAACATATCAAATGTTGCGAATTGCATAACCTCAGCTCCATGCGCTAACCGGTTCCGCAGTCTCCGACTCCCCCCCCGAATGGCGCCCGCTCATTATTAGCAAACAATTAAACATGTGTGTTACATGCATGAGTGTGTTTGTGTGTGTGTGTGTGTGTGTTCGTGTTAGTATGTGCTACAATTGCATGTTACAATTTTTGGGTCAAAAGTGAACGTCGCGCAGTCGCTCTCGCTGTAAGACACAGCCACGCGTTCCGAGTCAATGGGGCGGAGACTGCGCTTCTCCCTGGATTGATTTACCAACTAATTATGCTCATCATGTCTGCCGCTGATGGACCATGCCAAATCGATGTACTAATTAACTGGTCTCATTTACCTGCACTTCGACGGCCAGTGCTGGCCCAACGACGAGCAACAGTGTGGCCAGCCGCGTGAGTTGCGCCTTGCTATTTAGCTTCAACATCTTTTGGGCCTTAGGATCAGGTTTTATTTTGTTGTGGGCTTGGAATAGGCTAAACCGTCTGCGTTCAGTTTGAAAATCGCACTAAAGCTGAAGTGCAGTTTTTCCAAGCGGCGTCCACTTGAGACGGCGGCGGCGTCGTCGTCGTCGTCGTTGTCGTGCAAGCTTTCAAGGGTACCGTTAACGATGTCTAACGGTAAGCGTGGCTTAGTGCTTCGTGGCTTGCGTTTCGGATTCGGGCACTCGGTTAGTCTCGTGCGCTGGGCAACTTTCGATTTTTGGAAGCTGCTTTTCTAAGCTTTTTTTTTGCGCGGCAATTCAACAAACGTATCGCACCAGCTAATTACAATATTGCATTGTAAATGAAACTTTTAGTAAAATGATGATAAGCAAAAGTATCTCAAGCATGTGTAAGCATATGTATAATGCATTCGGATGCAGCTCTAACGGGAAAGCATAAACTGCATTACATTGCAGTTTATTTTGCAAGCAAGATATTTCTTTACGCTTAACAAATTTCAACGTTACTTAAATTACAAATTGTACACAACAAATAGTTATTAACTATGGTATGATTGGCTGTTATAATAAAAGGGGGAAATTGTTTTTAAAAATCGAACAGATGTATGGCTCATAATTGTTGGATATGCAGGCATTGCCGCAAAGGAAATTTCTGTCTGAATCGTATTCTACTAAACTTAGGCTCTATAAAAAATGGTCTTTCTAACTTAGTGAAACTAATACAACTTTTGTCCTGCTGGATTCAAATCGAGTTTGTTAAGCAAATCGTCAAATTCGCTAAAGAGCTGCAACAAAGAGTTGAAAATACCCATAAATGATCGGCTTATGATGGTCGAATGGTTGCGCTTACATGAGTTTTGCCATAGCTATCCACATAGGTCTTGCTTCCACCGGCGGTTTTCTTGAAGGCGGGCAGCGCTTGGCCATGCAGTAGATTCACATTTTGATAAGACTGCGCCTTGGATGGGCTGGATGCATGACTCTTGCCCACGGTGGGTGCCAGTTCCAGAAAATTGGGCGCTGCACAAGAGGCACATAAATGTTGTGTATGCAAGTGCAGCCAGGCGTTAAGGCCCAAAACTAAAAACTCGGCTCACCTTTCTTGGGCTGGAATTTCACTTGATTAAGCAACGGATTATGCAGCTGCAGTTGACGGTAGGCGGGCAATGCATGCTTGGGCGGCACCAACACATACGTACGACCCACGGCCTGCGGATACAGATAGGTGGTCTCCACGGTGGGCACCTGGCGGTAATGATAGCGACCTTCTCGCGGCGTATAGCGTCCATCAGAGCTGAGCGCAATATGATAAACGGTGCGCATGGGCTTGTTATAGTATTGATATACCTACAAATTAATAGATTTAAATGTTGTTGAACACATATATATATATAATTAAGTAGCGTAGATAATGACCTGCGGATTCCGTTGTTCGGGCACAATGCCATCCGGCACTGAGATGCCCTCCTTTTGCAGACGGTTCAAGAACAGACGATCCGTCTCAAAGGCGGTGTCGGGTATCTTGCCGCCCGCATGCGGCAGCACTTGCTCACGATAGATTTGACGTTTCTTTAATTGGTTTTTTTTTTATTTTTGCATGGATTATTTATGGCCTTAGATATGATAGTGTGACCTACCCACCTTGTGGTTGCGTTCCGCATATGTCGACTCTTCGCTAAAGACAGCAGCGCTCAAACAGATCAGCACAATTATGTGCAAGACATGTGGTGACAACATATCAAGTTGTTTCTTCTCAAACAATTTGAATAGAATTTCAGCTAAAGGTCAAGTCAATCGACCTGGCACAACTCTAGTTCTCAGCAAACAAGTGTTAGCAGTTCGGTACACAAATCCACATTTCAAACATATTTTTCAATGCGCCAAAAATTGCAACACACACAAACACATGCACACACACACTCGCCGAAATTGAATGACGTGCTGAAAATGAGCTTAAGAATCCAACTGTCTGTCGATGATCTTCCAGCTGCGAGTGGAGCAACTGCGTTGTGCGGTGGCGTTGTGGTCGCGACGACGGTGCCAAACATAATGAATGCAAATGCACAAAGCGCGCTGATCTGTGGCGGGTGCCCAACACCAGGTGCCCTCTGCTGTTGCCTCTGCTCTTTCCTCTGCTGCTGCTGCTGCCGACGACGACGACGACAACAACACTCAGCAAGCTGCAAACATCACGTGGTTGCCTGGCACGACAATCATCATCATGTTGTTGCTGCCATAATCTGAAGATTGCCCAAAATACAAAATAGTAAGAGCTATATTAGTCAGACAGACAGATATCCCTTAAAAACTTCCAGTTTTTGGATTATCGGCTGAGCTAACTTATAAGTTATGCGAACTCACAGATGCATCTAATTTTCATGAGATTATGATCAGCTTAATGCTACCCTGTTAAAATTAATTATACTATATGTCAGGGAATAAAGCTTGTCGATGTCTGAGTTAATTTAACATATATTCCTTTTTAAATATTAATAAATTTATATATGCTCAAGAGTATTATATTGTCAGCATAAATACTGAAGAACAGAGTAAGTTCTCCGACGAGTCACCTTGAATGAGAGTGAACTACAAGATAGTTTATTAGAGCGAGAATCTGAAGTTTTAAATATCACATCTCGAAAACTGTAATTCAAACTCCCTCTTTATACCCATTTTGAATTACAGGGTATAAAGCGGCTGCAAATTTGTTGAGCGATCTACAGACATTTCCTATGGCTTTTACTTTAAAGCTCGACTGCCAAATTAGTTGCCATTTAATATTTTGCGCTTCATTTGTTTAAGCCCAACAAGAAACAAAAAAAAAAACAAAAAACTACACACACATTTTGACCAAAGTAATTAATTAATCTTCTTGTTAAGCTGGCCAAGTTGGCGTCGATGATGAACTCAATCGTTCGGGTCGATTGGATGCGCTACTTCACTTGAGACTTTCAATATTTGGCTTGCCAATATCTTTGTTATGCATAATTACAATAGTTTTTATTTTTTTTTCTGTTTGGACTGGGCAATTTTGTAGTCAATCGTTTTGTTATTTTGTTCCCCTTCTTTTGAAAGTGAATGCCATTGTTTTTTTTTTTGGGCTTTTGTTTTTGTGTACACTTGTAGTTTGTTGTTGATTGCGCTTCAGTTAACAATTTGCTATAATGTTTTTAAATTTATTGATTGTTTTTGTTATTATAATAAGTATTTGTATAATTTATGTGGCTCTTGCTCAGGCACTTGGCTGCTGAAGGGTTTTAATTTTTGTTGTTTTCATTCGATTGCTTTGTTAGAAAATTGATGGGGTTGTTTTACATTTTTTTTTGGACCTTGAGAGGCTTGTGAAAGTGAAATGATTTGTGGCCTGAGAAGTTCGCTTTTCCGAAATGCTAGCTAAACACGTTTCGATCCGCATTCATAACTATGTATTCGAGTACCCGAAACACTCGCAAGCGTCTGCACTTAAAATTCCAATTGCATGTCATATAAAAATGACAGCTCATAGACAAACATCCGAAATGTATTTATGCGCGTTTAAAGTATACCAAGTTGGTGAAAGTTTCTATGCAGATAGTCTCGATAAGAATGGCCTACAAACGAGCCGCAGCCAAAGACGAAACATTTGAAATGCGATACACAAAGCAGCTCTTGTAAATGTAATTGTAATTATCGCGGATTACACAATGGCCCAAAAATGGTTTTACATTACCAATTACACGAGCGGAAACCTCAACCACAAAACGGAGCAGCAGCTTCTGGCGAGCTTCTATTGCTGCCCCCGCTGACCTTGAGCAAGATGCAACATCAGCGTGCACACAGCATCCCATTGACGAGACGATGCTGATGACAATTAAGAGATTAATTATTTTGAATCGCCGTCGACCTTGGCCACAACAGCCACAACTGGCCACAACTGGCCCAGACAAATGGTCAGCGCGTAGTGGGCAGCTTGTGGTATGCACTGAATTGGTAGCAAGTCATCTTGTGGTCGGGCACTATTGTTGGCTCTCGAGTTCGCTGCTGCTTGTCATGCGCTAATTGGTTGAGGCAGCGGGTTTCCTGGAGGGTTTCTGCAATCCACTACAAATTGGAAACGCTTGCGCTGCAAGCTTTGAGTCAAGGATTACCTAGACATTCCCACGTCTGCACGGCAACGGACAAACAAAGCCTTTCGAAACTGTCGCATAAATATGACAAGCCAATAACACGATCCGCTCTCCAGACCCTCACCACCATTGATTGAGTGGGCCGGCAATGGCCTCAAGAGCGCGTCGCAAGCGCATTGACTCGGAGGTTACCTGAATTGGCCCATAGGCTGGTTCAATTGCTTGAAATGCCAACTGCTTTGACCGTCTCCAATGAAATTTGCGATCAGACATTGTGTGGGACCTGCTGATAGCACAACTGTGGCAAATCAATTTGAGAGTCACAACACAGTCCACGATTTTGGGTACCTTGCGCCACGTGCTGCTGTCGACCAAGTCTTAAAGCTAATTAATTTTATGCTCAGATATTGAGTAACAATTAATCGAACAATCAAAATTGCAAGCATTCAGTATTTAAGCGTATTTTAGCTACGCACAGGGTATCGCTCAGTCGATCACAATCGACTTCAACATTCTTAATTGCATAAGCCTAAAATTTAACAAGTGTTTATTTTATGTTACATTTTTATTATGATCATTTTCCGGGCTTGTTTTGTTTGAAATTTAAACACTTTTCAAAAAGTAAACAATTATATCAATCTTAGCTCTTTTCATCAATACGTAATATGGACAAGTTTCAATTCCAAATAGTTTTCAATATAAAGAACTAGATTATTTCCAACAGCTTTGCATATATATATAGCATATAAACTATATAATTCTCGATCTCGTCTAGCTGAACAATTGACTGATCTACCGTCTTTAAAGACCTAATATAAAAGTTAACTTTTTGCTTTACAGTTAAATCAGCTTCGTTGTTTTTCAGTGCACAAAGGTTTAAATGCAAAAACTGTTTTTAATTTGATTCTTATTCGGTGTCTTTTGGTGCTGTTTTGTTATTATTTTAATATTTGTTGTAGTTGTATGAGTTTTTAATATTCAATAGTTTTTATTTAATTTTCTATATTAAAAATACAAATGTTAAGCAACAAAAATGTAGTGTGCATTAAGAATATCGCATAATTGAATAATTCTCTAATTTTCCAGTTTTTTTCTCTTTTTCTTTTTTAGAAAATTATACTACATAAGTATGTATAAAAAAATATAATTTGAGTAACTCATTGCCAATTTGGCTATTTAATTTGTTTTTTTTTTTTTTTTTGGGCTGGGCTCCGAAAAGCCTGCAAAATGTATATACAAAAATAAAAACTTTTTTGAATGGCTTGCAAAGCTTTTAGGAACCTAGAACCAAATCATGTTGCTTATAAACTAAACATGCTAAAAAAATATGTTGCAAGTGCTTGCAACAAACAAAAATAATAAATGATTGCAATTTTGGTTTTTTTCGTAATACTCTTTTAGAACAGAGAGGGGAGAAAAGAAAGTGCTCTAAAAGTCTATTTTACCTTGATACTAATATGTACTAACATCAAAATAAAATGTATGAGGGTGTGTGTGTGTGTGTGTGTGTTTCAGAATCATTTCCAACTTCGATATTGGTTTAAAGTAGCAGAGTTTAAGCTAGTTAACTGTTTAGATTCGGTACTAAAATGTACTCAACAAATATTTATATATATATATATAACTGCATTTGCATGTGTACTAAAACGTGCAAAAACGGACAGTTTGGTGCTGTGTGCTACTTGGATAGGCACTCGAATATAGTTAACCTAAGGGTACTAGTTTAGTAATGCGCTTTAACGAAAAATATACAAAGTGTGGGCGCAGTTTTACATCTAACAATAGTTAGATATCTAGGAAATAAACAGGAGCTACTCCCGGCTGGCTCCTGCAGCGCTACAGACTATGCTAAAAAGTATATTCCTCAAATGTGTACAAATAGTGTATATAATAAATATATATCCCTTGGTATAGCACTTTTTGCATTACGGTTTTTGTGTGTTATGCACCGGAGATTATGTCCAAGTTCCCATATATATGTTTGGATAAGCCAAAAGGAAACCATTTATTGGGCTTCTGTGGTTGTGCTGTAAACCTTCATGATGTCCTTGATGGCAGAATGAGAGCCAAAGACAAGGGCGCCAATGCCGCACAAGATGATGATTATGTTTTTCCACAGTATCCATTTGCCTGCACCGAAACCGGAATCCCAATGCACGACAAGCTCAATAATAACCTAAAAAAGGAAGATTCTAGTGTTAGGCCAATAGTTAAGAGTTAAATGATCTGCACTTACCGGAAAAATCAGACCGAGTATAGAGAAGCAGAAGGCGCCAATAAGACCCATAAATGGTGCTATAGTAGGCACTGAGATGGCCAGCACTACAGCGGCAGTTACCAGAACAGTGCTACAAGCGAATTAACAAGTTTGGTATAAGTACAAGTATAACTTGAGATCGATTTCAATATGATAGCTTACCGCAGCACGTAATTGACGAATGTGGGACGTTTGGTGCACTTTTCCTTGATGCCATCCCAAACAATCTCCAGGCACACATAGAACTGCAGTCCAAATGTACAATAGACGGCCAGAGCAATTAAGACTTTCACTGCCTGGGCGGGCCATTCCTCGATGGGCAGATTCAAGGTGATGCTCTCGCCAGTTGCATTGCCATAGCGCATATAGCCAAGGAAACCCAGAAGCATATATATCAAGGTAACACCCGACATGCCCTGGCTGAGCACACCGCAAATGCCAAGGAAATTCTTTGGCGTCTTCATGTTGTTCTCCAGCGGCATAACAACACCAATTGCCTCCATGGCAAAGATGGTTATGGAGAAGAACGCGGGCAGTGTGGACAAGGTGAAGAGCGCACGTTCCTGAATTGGCGGCAGATCCTGGACCAGATAGTAGAACGTAATGCCCAAACCGAGACCCATGAAAACATTGGCCACCATCGAAACGGGCGCCAGGTATTTCAGATTGGGCACCCAAGCAATAAGGATCAATGGCACGAGCATTATGCAAATGATGACACGCGACTCGATTTCACAATCAAACCAATGCTCAAGCACCTGCTCAAAGTTCTTGGCCACAATAACTGTATACACAGAGCAGGTGCCAAAGTATGTGAGGAACAGGCCAAACAATATGGAGAACTTGGCCACGGGCGCGAAACCGCGCAAACTCTTCGGTCCCTTCTGGAATGCAGCCTCAGCGATTTCCGCAAATGTCATCTTGGTGCGACGTGTCTTGTAGTACAATTTGTGACCGCATTTGACCTGCAGAAGCGTAAAATCCATTAAGTACAAAGTTCAATAAGCAAATTTGGACAGTCGGAAACCTACCAGCACGTAACTGCAGTGCGTGCAGACAAAGGCAGTAAAAATGGTGGCAATGATGCCCATCACAAGACCCGAATACATAAAGGCAAACGGCATGCCCAGAATGCCAGTGCCCAAAGAGGCCTTCAGCAAATGCGTCAAAGTTTCGTTATCACTAAAACGAGAGAGTTGACAAAATAAAAAAATAATTAAAGTTAAGTCAAATATGGCCTCCTCTTGGGCTGCAGACTTACGTAGTGGGATGCTCATTGTCGCGCATCGCAAACGGATCAAAATCATTGTTAGCCAAGGCCTGCTCGGCATCTGATTTCCGTGGCTGGATCTTGTATCTGTAAATAAACAAGAAGAGTTTATTAATATACGTTAGCATTGCCAATAAGGTTAGTTCTTATGGAAGTCACCTCAGCTCAACGTGAGTGGGTACTAGGTCGCTATTGGCCATGCTCTGAACTGATCTGCACACTGTTCACGGCCCAAACAACAACTAAATGCCATCAACGAGTGCACCATTTTCTTATATGTTGTATGCGGCCAGCCGTGAGTGAAATTCTTTTGGCTTTGGAATTGCTGCATCTGCAATTATAGTCGTTTGGCCGACGTCTCATTTAATGTTTACAAGCGTCGCAAAACACAAACGCAAAAAAATAAATGCACAATCCGAATTTGGTCTGTACGCGCGAGCCAATTGTGATTGGCCAGTTGTTGGACCGAGCCTGATTCCAAGCAGCCATCTCATTGCATCAGCCGCAGCAAGCAATTGCAACCGCAAGAAAGAAAACCAAGCCACAATATCAAAATTTACCATTGCCTACTTTTAGGCATTAAAGAAAATGCTGTGTGCTTGACAAAGAGTGCTTAAGGCAAAGCCAAATGCATTCATTTAACAAAAAAGCTTTTGGCAAATAAAATATTTATAAATTTTGATATTTTATTGTTGGCTTTTATTTAAAAGACTGTCAAAAGAACAGGATGTTCTATGTTGAACTTCTGACTAGTCACGTTGAATGTATAATTGTGCTATATTTAAAAAAAAACAATTCTTGTAAAACCTCCAAATCCGATTATGGACAATAGCATTGTGTGGAATTTGCCTGATAAGCACATAATTATAGGCACATAAATAAATGCCTGTACCGCAACCATAATTAAATTTATATACATACGTATTATTTATAGTTGTTTTTATAAAAATCTTTTCTCATTATATTGTTCTATTATCATTAAAAGTTCATGTTTTGCTTCCACAGCAAGCGAAAGGTTATCAGCTGATCATGAATTTTCAAATTGCAAAGTTTTCGTTATATTTCAGAATTCAAATAAATAATTAGTTTTAGTTCCTGTTTTTTTTTTATTTGAGCAAAGTTTGCAGCTCCCCGCTGAATATAAATGTTAACGCAAGCAAAATATAGTATATCTTAAAAGTCAGCAAAAAAAAGCATTTGCCTGTTTACATAATTTCGAGAGAGGTTTTGAGAGGTTGCGCTTCCAATTGTCATTTAAATATTTGCTTTGACAGGCTGCAAAAATATATATATATTTGTATTGGCAATAAAATAAATAATTCAGCATTCAGCTGATCTCGCGTTGCAAAATGAAAACAACAATATGCAAAGTCAAGAGTTTACACAAAAATATTTTTTGTGTGCTGCAAATACGTGTAAGATTATCTGTTTCCATGTAAAAAACATGCAAGTACAAATGTACAATATATGTACTTAAGTTAGTTCATGGATAGATAGAAATAGGGCCTTTTTGTGCTACGTACTATTCCACGGGCTATACTTTAACGTAGGCTTCAAGCTAAGTACGTATTATATGGCAATAATAAACCTATACGATTACACTTCTAATTATATGTGGATCCGTAATATTATATGATAAGTTCGTTAAAAAGTGCGACTCTCAACTGGTTAAGCTCTTTATACTTGCAAACACATTTGTTGCTTATAATTACAGGCAGCTTGCTAGTTAATATCTGCTGCGGTCATGAACCATAAATATATATATCTAATGTCGGGCCACGATTGAGCTCAAATACATATATCCATATATATATATATATATATTGTGTATGCTGGCGCCTGGTAAATTGACGAGTCGAGCGACATTTGGCGGCATCATTGGGCAATTTGTGTGACTAAACTAACGTTTAATTGTCTGGCACGCAAACTTAATTCTTTTATGTACTTATTAGATCTGTTAGCTCATGGCCTTATATTTATAGATAGAGCTGCTGTACTTACTTGTTCATACCGCCGCCGGGCAGGAATTGTTCCATTTCCTGTGGCGCATGTTTGCCGCCGTCGTCCTGAAATCGAAAAGTTATTGACATCAATTGGAAATGTAAATGGAAAGGAAAACTCTTGAAAATGAATACGCACTGCAATAACGTTAACCATTATGAATGTGTGTGTTTTTTTTTCTTTTAACTTATCAGCGCCGACTCCCAACCGATTTCGCACAGTGTACGTTCTGCAAATAAAAGAAACAGCAAAAGAATTATTAGTTAGGAATGCGCCTGTTGGGTGTAAGAATTAATAGAATTTAGTTTGATTGAATCAGCAGACGTTTGTTCGATTATGTTCAATCAAATTTCAATCGGATATTTTCTTAAATTTATACACATTTATGCGTTCAATTGCCTTTTAATTGATTCGTGCAACGCACATTCAATTTGAGAGTAAGCGGCATTTGATTTAATTTATTGAAATTTATTCGTTAAATTCTTGTCTCTTTTTTCTGCTGGGATTTGCATGCAAATTCGTTTGTGGCTCGACAATTGACTTCGAATATGACAAGTTATTCGCTTAATTTCTTTATATGTCACTTAAACTCCATCTAATGAGTTCTATATTTAGCCCCGGGCGCTATCAATGAACTCTCGAGCATTTCGCAACGCTGTCCCATTCAATTTGTTTGTCGTAAATATTCTTTTGGCCCTGTCATCATGATGAGATTCGTGTGTTCGACTTGTTTACCCGCCGTTGATCTATTATTAATATGTTAAATCGCAGCCAAAATTGAATTTTGTTTTTGCCAACTCATACATGTGTTACATTTCACATTCACAAGCAGTGAAATTGTCACAGCATTAGGTTGAAATGGGGCGGGGCATGCGGGCAGTTTGTCACATGCGTCAATAAGGCAACCTCGTGGCATGGCCTGTACTTTGGCTTTGTGTGTCATATTTTGGCGCTAGCTAACAATTAACACTTTGCTGGCCTTGCCTAATATGTCGACACTAAATAAAAGTGAGAATAATTTTAGCAGGCAGCTAGTGTATCACATATAGGGTATCATAAGTGTGGAGTTTCGTATAAAGTCGCGTCTAGGTATGACAATGATAAATGTGCTTTCTTAGCCAATTTACATGATTATTCATTTGGCATTCGCAGATGCCGCGCAGACACTTTTTAATGTTCAGCTTTTTTAGGGTTTATTGGGTTTACCATTTCTGATTTTCGTTTACCTCGGCACATTTCTCAACAAGGTTGAATGAACTTCGATGTCGAAGTTGTTGTGCAGTTCGTTTTAAAGCCAAACTTTGCATATCAATCATACTCATATGGCCCACAATGGGGGTAAAAGCAAACTTTAAACTGATTTCGATTAGTGCAAATTAATAACACTTCAAGTGCACACTTAATCTTTATCTTTATGCGAGCTCATAAGCATTATGACTTTGTCGGCTTCCAGATTTATAACACTCGGCTAAGAGCTCTATAAAAGCTCAAATTTCGTTATGCTCTTGAACGAACGAACTGAGTGGCAAGAAAACAGACAGCCGCACGTCACAAATCACGTATACTGATAAATCATGAGTACGATAAGATATAGTCGCAACATCGAAACCATTATCGTATCGGATCGGGCCCGGAACGTGCCGGTATGAATGAAATAAATTGTGTTGGCGGCAGCCGCAAAGTTATTAGTGGGGTCTTTTACCACATAGAGAACATCAATATAAATACAAATAGTCATATATGTTTGTACACATGTGTATTGAACAGCAACGACAACAACAACAAAAACAAGAAGAAAGAGCCTTCACCCACTGCGAGTCTATAAAATTGGCACAGTTTAGTAATTTTATTTTATGTTAGCTCTGTTTAGATATCGGATATATTTAGTGGCATTCGCCGGTTGAGGTGCCACCAAATGGTCGCCCCATATCTCATCTGTTGTCCGTGTTTTAGCCCCACAAAAACCGGTGAGAACTGGTTTCGCGAAACCTTTAAATAATTGATCGATTTATATCACTGCCAAAATCCAACAAAGAACTACACTTTGTTGCGTGAACAGACAGACAGAGAGATAGAGACCCGAGCATGACATAGCCAAAATAGAAACTTAGAGATAACTATAGATGTTGCCCTTGTGGCACGCCACAATTTTAAGTTCAACTGTTCGCATTGTTCGAAATGATGAAAACTGCCAAAAATAGAATCAATTTCATCAGCCCAATTAACTTGGAACACATTTTGGATGTGTACATTGTATCTGTGACATATTGTCGGGGTTTCGATTGCAGCAGGAAATGTAAGTTTAAGGAATATTCTTTTTGAAAGATTACTCTTTCTCCAAAGTGCAAAGTTCCACTCTTATATAAATATGTTAGTCAACAATATATTAAGATGATAAATCTCAAAGCCCATTGATGCTTATACTCAAAGCAGAGTACATATATCGGTCACAAGACAGAACGAAAATAACAAATTATTTTCGAAATTCGAAGAAAGGCAACCTTGAAAATGAAATTTTGACAAAGAGAAAAGCATTCTAGCATACTCTTTTGAAAATATTCAAATGAATACAAAGCAAAATACCGAAAATCGTGCATAATGTGTTCAAAAAGTAAAAACGCATTAGAATAGACCCATTTTTAGCTTAGCACAAAGCACATCTGTTGTTCACTATAAACAATCGCATTCAAAGCATATTAACTGCAATGTTTGTGGACCAAAGTTCAAATTTGATTTGCGGCAGAATGGGATGGGGATTATCGCCTTAAGACGACGACTGTTGCGCCTATGCCGAAAGCTACGTGTGACGTCACGTCTGCCTGACGACATCGCTCTCAGCAATTCAGCACAGCATCCTGCATTGGGCGAACGCTCTCTAGTCTCTCAGCATGTTTACGCTCTTAGCCACGCGGCCAGGCCCCTATGCAAAATATATATAAAAAAAAAAAAAACACGTGCTCCCAATTTAGAATTTAAATTGACGTCTCTAACTAAATGTGATGACGTCTACGAAGCTTAGGACTTGTATTCGAATTTAATACTGGGTAAATATTTGTATTTGTGATATTCGTAAAAAATAACGTATAATGTGGCATGTTTGTTTGTTTTGATAAGAGCTTAGTTTGAAAACGAATGCGTCAAGAAATCATTTCTGGAATTTAGTTTCGTGTGCCTTTTATCAGATCGAAGTCAACATAATGTGTTGGTTCATAGAAAACGAACAATCTATATTTACTTTCAAATAATTATGTTTATATTTAGCTTCAAGTTCATGCGGCGCCGTGTAAAGTTTTATAGAAATTTCATCAGCTAAAACTTTTCACCTACTTATGTTGCATTTGTGTACGCAGAAATGTTTCTTTATTTTTTTATATATAAATTTAAGGCAACTTCAATGAAAGTATTGGGTTTCCAATAGAATGTTTACAATTAATTGGCTTAGTAAAATTAACGGTAAAATAACATTGTAGGCAATGTTAGATTATAAATAATCAATCAGACTAAACGAATTTAGATTAACGTGTTTTTAGCAAGTTATCAATTAGAAATTTTTAATAAACATTCCGTTGTTTACAACATTTGACATCATTAAAAAATATGCCAGTAATCGCTAGAAATTGAATGTGCCGCTCCTCAACCTTATATAGTATCAGTAGAAATTGCTATAGTCGACAAAAACTGCTGCTCAAATAAGTCAACTACGCCTAGAAAAGATCATTTCAAGCAGCACTTATTATTATAAACAGTATATATATATATCATTATCATTATTATTATTGTAGGCACGTGCGAATGTCTAGAGGTTCACTGCCATTTACATATTGCGTGACTTCAGCTAGAGATCAGGAACTTGGGCCTAAAACATTGTAGGGCAATTACCATTAGATATACATGTACATTTGTAGATAAGTGCAGTAGCTTAAAGGTAATAAACAATTAGAGTGCTTGTAAGGTCATTGCATAAGCAGAGCTGCACACTCCTGATAAGAGCCGTGTGTTCGCTTTATCAATCGAGATAATAAAGTGCACAGGCGCATAACAATATTAACTTTTGGGTATATTCACAGACAATCATTTTAAAATTTGTATATCAGCGAACTCTTAGAAGTTTACGGGTTCTTGCAATTATTGGCTGACCTCCCCAACAGTTGATAACAAAGCAAATAGCACCTGAGGTGTGCCGTCGTTACGATAATTGGTTACGTCCAACTAAAAATCAATTTGTCTTGAGGTAACAGCACTCGCAAAAGGGTAGCTCGTCTACCTTGCCACAGAGAAAATGGTCAAGTGTAAGGGCGTGGGCTGACAATTTGCGCAAATTGACAAGCAAACAAGAAAGCACAATCATAAAGAATAACCGTCAGAAATAACGGTAAAAAGCGTCCATATTGGCCGTAGATTAGCGGGGATCGTAACAGGGCGTAATTTAATTCTTTAAACGTGGCTAACATTAATGTAATACAGCTTAATTTAAATAGATTCAGGACTTAATTTCTTTGCAACAGATGAAAGGCAATGCGGCCCACGCTCAACAGCGACTGACGCTGACCCGCATTTCTTTTTGCACCCTTCGCTCTATGACGTCACAGTTTTACTGCGTCTTTCGTTGAATTCGCCTTTGCCCGCTTCTAAAATTCTTGTATGTTAATTATCGCCGTACAAAAATCAATAGACCAAAGCGACATTGAAAATTGTGTGTTATGCAAACACGTTCATTCATACATTCATACATACATACTTATGTACATACATACATACATGTACGCATGCATGCATGTGCTTTTTGTAGCTTCTAAGTGTGGGCAGAGATAAGGATGAGGCGCTTGCCTGTCCCATGGTCAGGAAACGAAGGTCGGCTTATAAATTGTCCGCACAAATGTTAGATTTTAATAGTTTAGTTTTGTTGCTATGAACTTTTCATACAATTAATGTCCAGGCTAACAATTTGTCTTTTTCCTTACATGAGGGCCAAGTGAGTGTCGATGTGTGTGTGTATGTGTGTGTGTGTGCTCCAATGGCTTTCATTGTCGTGGGCGTTTAGCTATCGTAAATTACCATTGGTTATACCCTACACTAGAGTCCGTTCGATTCGACTTTCCCCCTTAACACGCTCAATTGCCCGTAAATTACGTATTTATTGTTAAGAAAACGTGGCGAATCAGCAATTTAAATCGAATTCTTCAGCCATTGCACTATTACACAAAATCAGACAAACAAATACAAAACGCTTCAAACTGCCTAGTTTAGTATCAGTATTAGTATGGGTATAAGTATTAGAAAGCGCGCGCGTATTTGCTTTTGTTTACTGCGTTAGGACCAAAATAGAGACTTCATTCATGGAAAGTGATTTGAAAGACATGTAAATCGGAGGAAGTGACGATGCAGAGGTCACAATAAAAAGAACATTGCCACAACGAAATATGCGAAGAGAGAACTGTAGAGCAGGTGCAACGCTGGCAGGTAGGCGTCAGCTTCGGCGTCGACGTCAGCAGAGCAGCCAGCGACTACGTCTTTCGCTTACGTTGCGTACGCGTGTCAACGTTGAAGGGACTTTGCTTTTGGCCTGTCAGAATTCGTATGCATATATCTGGCGGTCTTAAAAACAGTTTAAAAATACTTAATAACAATATGCAACAGATTTTCGTGTGCAACACAATGTACAAATATAATTGACGCTAAGCTTTTGTTGTTCTGGCCCCCGAACGAGTTGAATAATGCATTAACCAACAAATTTTCTCATACAATTTTGGTTTATTTCTGGGCCCATTTTGACTTTTCGTCAGTGCATGCATGCTTGTGTGATTTTTGTGATTGTGTAATTTTGACATTTGCCCATTAGTTTTAATGGCTTTCTCTCAGACTGTACATATTTATTTATTTGGGGCATGTTAACGACATTTTTCGATTGCTTTCCCTTACGAGACTGCATAATGTGTGCGTTTGAGCAGCAGCTTTACGCTTTACTATTGCCATGCAGTCGCCTTCTATTTCTAGACGTCCAAATTTGTGCCATGTGCTTGACATTTTTTTTCTTATGCTGCTCGCATACACAAAAATTCTTGAGTAGAACATACAAACAGACACGAGAACGTAATTATGTATGTGTGCATGCATGTGAGTATGTACTTACACTGTCCACTGTTGCGTTGCCCGTTGTGTACGTTAGTTAGCACTTTCTTAACTCTCGTCACAGATATTGAAATTAGCACAACAATTAATTCTATTTTAAAACAGTTTTTGTAACGCTTAAGCTACTTAACCATACATGAATATAACTTATATTTAACGATGCACACGCTCTAAATATTCTCAACAATTAAAGCACCGCTTGCAAAACGTTGACCACGCGGCACTAAAGTCATACAGCAACTGACGCTGCGCTCGCATTTTTAGCGGTTTTATATAAAAGAGCGCACAACGGACGCGCCAAAATATTGAGAGTTGCCGTTAAACTAACAGCTGAATACGGCACACATCGAAACAGCGGCCGGCACGCTGAATGCGCAGAAGCGACTGAGTATAAAGAGAGGAAGAGAGCGCGCTCTCATTCTCTGCGGCAATACACGTTTCTGGCCCATTATCAAATTATACTTTAGTTTAGTTTGTAACAGTGCATTTTCAACAAAGAGAGACAAAGGATAAGCATAGGACATGCTGAGAGCTAGGGCCAAAGGGCGTAGGATGAATAAAATGAAAAGGGCAAGGGTCTGAAAATGCCTTGACGTTTGGCTGACGAAATTTCGATCGGCTCTTTCATAACCGTTGCAAATGCTTTTAAAGTTTTTGCTCGCAACGGAAACATGAAACTTTAAAATAGAAGCTCGGCAACACGACACGAGATTAGACATCCTCTCTCTCTCTCTCAGGCACCTGATAAAAGAACCGTAAATTGCGTCAGCGTAAACATGGCTTGAAAGTGTAAATTTTAAACACCTGAAAATAACCAATATTATTGAAAGCGTTAACGATTCAGTCACATAAATAATATATGTATTAGGCTAAGAAAATGCAACGTCATGTTGACTCACAAATTTTTGCAATGACATTTTAATTTTTCACCTTTCACAGCTTGTACGTCATCATTCTAGGGATTTCCATTTGCTATATTGATAAACAAAACAAACAATTAGATATGGTGAAATTCGCATAATGTATGCACATATACAGTATTTTTGCTAATCATTATTAAGTACGATATGCGACAACCCATTGTCAAACTGGCTTTAAGTGGTCTTCAAACAAAAACTGTCGATACACGTGACAGGGTCGTGTGCAGAGAGCTCGAAACAGGAATATGAGCACCATTAGAGGGCTATTATATAGATAACTAGCTTATTTTTGTGGATTGAACCTAGCCGAATAGCCTATTAAGTATCGAAAATACATTTACCATTCATTTGTTTAAACTTAGGAATTATTGAAAATTGCTTTACTAGTTTTTACGCAATTGTAAAAACTTTCATCGTTAGTTAAATTCGGCTTTTTCTATTGATCTTAGAAGTTATCAGTACATTTAAATAGCGTTCAAAAAAGCCAATTAAAAAGTTGATAAGCAACTGAAACTTAGTATAAATATAGAATATTTACTCGGAATTATCTATCATGCAATTGGTTAATAAGTGTGGCCAATGAATTCGAAGGAATGGCAATGAATTAATTGATAAGGTATACATAAATAAAATAGTTAAAGTTAAAAACCGGCTAATGGACATTTTTTGCAAATCTTAGCCTTTATGTAAATTGGGTTTATTAGGTCTATTAAAATGTAAAAACTTTATTCCAAAAATCAGCAAATCTTTTTGTATACATTTGTTATATGTTTCGTACAATATATAATTTAAAATTGTTATGTATTCAAAATTATATGAAACCACTTTTGTTTCCATTTACAGAGTGAAACGAAAACCGGCATTCATTCATTCAAATCAAAGAAAAACCAACATTATACATTAGATTTCAAATCTGTCAGCATAAAATCATAAATTCGAACAACTCTCAGACTATTACATGAGCTGCGTTTCCAAAGAAAATATAAATTGCACAAGAAATTCTTACATAATGCACTTGCACTTGCACTTGCATAGATATTATGACTCTGGTACATATGTATGTATGTATGTATGTATGTATGTATGTATGATAGATAGGTGTTATGGCCGTGTGAAGCACGTTGACTGTGTCTGTAGTTTCTATGTGTTTGCCAGTTTTGAACTGTGTTTCAGTTACTATTGAGTTTGTGTTTGATCTATTGTAAAGTTAGTTTCAAATGAGATTGACTGAGAGTAGTTTACATTGCATTTATATTATAGTTCTGATGCTGTGTGTGTGTGTGTGAGTGTGTTTGTGTGAGGTAAAAATTTCTTGCCAACTGGACGTATATACTTAATGATACATATATGGCAGTACATTGGATTGTTTCAAAATCGCACTCTTCTAATTTGTTGGGGTGGTCTACACTTGTTAAAATTTTTCAATCGCTTCCACACACGCGCTATGCATCCGATATTAAATGATTATTGTTATTGTTCTATTTGAAGCCCCGCGCTTTATGGCTTCAAATAAATGAATCGTCAGTGCTCCTCCGGCGGTGTGCGAAACTCCGAGATCCAATCGGTGACGCGCAGCCGAAAGATTTCCGTCTTGGTCAGTATCCAATCGCGATATTGATGAGGTATATACTCGACTAGCTTATCGGCGATGTCCGGGTTCTTGAACATTATCAAATAAATAATTAGCACATTGATTATGAAGAGCAGCAAAAAGGTCATCAGCGATGAAAAAGCAACGCCCGATATGGCCGTAAGCCAGCAGCTGCCATTTGTTGACTTCTTTTTTTGATTGTTCTTTTGATTGGTGGATTTGATGGGGCCTGAATGCACAGGTTTGATTGAGAGCTCGTTCTCGGCAGCTGCTCCCGATTTCTTCGATTTTGATTTCTTGTTTGCCTTGTTGGACTTCTTAGAGGCCTCGCCGCCATTGGTCTTTGTGCTATGATTCGAGCTGGAGCTGCCATCGCCATCGCCAGCGCCTGCCATTTGTGCAGAGCTCAACTGGCGCTCCTGGGCCGCTATACGTTCACGTTCAATGAATTCCGACTTGTAGTTTGCACAAACGTTGACCTGCAAAATGTGAGCAAATTGTACATGAAAAGGCGCACTCGACTCAAGTGCCACTTGTCTTACAGTATTCTTGGCCGCCTGTTGGCAGTCCTTCAGCGTTGAACAGCGGCCCACAATTTTCTCCCAAGCGGGCGTCAAGGGATTGCCCTTTAAGTCTAAATAGCGCAAGCGACGCAAACGTCCAAAGCTCAAGGGTAAGTGCTCCAAGCAGTTGTCGTACAAGTCCAAATGACGCAGTTGCTCCAGTTGGCCAAAGTCATCGGGCAGAACTCGGATTTGATTCTTGCTTAAATCGAGCTGAATTAGCCTTGTGAGCGTGGTGAAGTTGCGCTATGTGAAAATAAGCTCAATTTTAATACAAATGGTATAATTTACTTATGATATCTAACGTACGCCGAGTGTGACCAGTCGATTGCTGGAGAGGTCCAGAAAGATAACGCGCTTGAACGAAGCCTGTGAAGGTAAAATATAAACTGAATGTGAGTTGTGACTCGAATATTGAACAGGAAGTTCAACAACCAAAAAGAAACCCCCGAAACAATTGTAAAATACAATATTTGGCAACTTTCCCGTGCCACTGACCGAGGGGTGGTAGCTGCGCTGCCAAATCACAAAAATCAACCCCCTGAAGCAATTTTGGTTGCACACATTCACATACAAACACACACACACGTACACGCGCGCTCACATCATAGCATACAAGCACACATCTTGCGGCGCTCTCAAGTGTAAATGCAATGCAGTCAACGTCAGCGTTAATTGCAAGCCAGCCGGCAGCAGGCAGGCAGGCAACAACAACAATGGCAGTACCCAACTGTTTGCGCGAGCGAGAAAGCCAATAACTGGCTAGACTAACGCCAGACAAGACAGCGCTTTGTTTGCACTTGTGCGGTGTGGTAAGCGAATCAGAAGGGTCAGATATGACCCAGCGCAGATGATAATTACCTATACTTGTAGATTTTTTATTGCAATTAATGGCGCACGCACATGTTTTACTTACAATTTCACGCACTGGTATTTCGGTCAGCTCGGAGAGGCTGAGATCACAGCTTTCATCCTCGATCCGCTCCTTTACGTTCACTTTCACTTTATCCACACCTTTTGGCATAATTGCTGGCTGTGTGCTTGTTAATTTGAATTATTTTATTTCTAATAACAAATGTGACACAATTTTGATTGCCAACTATTCAAAACGAAAACCAAAACACAGCTGCACTCGCCAAACGCCGCTCAGAGACTGCCGGCGCATGGTATCGAGAGAACGATGGTAATGCTTAGCGCAGGTGCCAGACAAAAAATAAAGTGACGTCACAAGTGCGCAAGAGAATGACACCGATTTTACATATATAAGAACGCAACAATTGCTTAAAATCATTAAATATTTAAAAAACTAAAATATAGTGTATTAATGCGCTTCGCAAATGCATCAAATTGCAATTATTAATTATGTGCAATATTTAGTTTTATAATAGTCTATCAATCTGGCAACGCCAAAAGTCTGAATGACTATCGAATAGAACAGGCAATTTTTTTTTGTTAAAAAGAACTTTACATTTAATTTGTAAATATTTCAAATTCTTTCATTATAAAATAACTGCGTTTAACAGCAGCTTCACTGCAGCTTAGTCCTCCTCTTCCTCGGCAGCAGCACCGCCACCACCCTGGTTCTTCTTCAGGTTCTTCCTCTTAACGCGACCGGGACGGCCACCACCGAAGGGCGACTTCAGAGAGAAGTCAATGTGCTTCTGCGAATCCAGGCGCACCACGAACGATGGGATGTTGACCACCTGCTTGCGCACACTGTATGAATGTAAACAATAAAGATTAGGTATATTAATACATACACTTGTGTTTAACTCAGCGCAAGGGCTTTCAAGTTGGAGCAATATGTTCAGTGCAACTTACGCTATGGAGCTTTGCAATATGGTCTGAGTGAACAACTGGGGCTCAACTACATGACCAAAAGACGTTGAGAGCCGGTGCAAGCTCATGTCGGCTTGTTCGACTCCCAAGTGGTCTTACTGAACATTTATTTTTTATTAAGCTATTGGCTTTTGATGCCTGGCGACGATTTCCGCCGCTGTCCAAGAGATAATTACCGAATGTGACGCTGACGGATCAACACACGTGCATGATGGATGGACTTGGCCAATCCAAGCTTGAATACTTGGGTTTGCAGACGACGCTCCAAGAAGTCCTCAATCTTCAGGCCAAGCACGTAATCGAGCTTCATGCGCGACTCGTCCAATACACCAATGCGCACCAAACGACGCAGCAGAGCATTACCTACGGAAGAGGCAAAGGAAAAAGTTATATTTGTTTCCAGTTTTAATTATATAGCCCACAGCTGGAGAACTGTTTTCAGTGTGTATTGGTTAACGTCAATGTTTATTCAGACAAGAAGTGTCAGAATTATATTATTTAATACAGATCATCATGACGTGGCCAGCAGCTTGGCATTGTTGGACAACTTACCCTGGAATAGACGTTTCTCGTCCTTCTCATCCAAAGTCAGCAGCTCACGGGCAGCCTTACGGATCTTGGCCAGGGCGTACTTGACGCGCCACACTTCACGCTTGTTACGCAGACCATATTCTCCGATGATCTTCAACTCCTGGTCCAGACGAGCCTTCTCATAAGGACGACGTGGAGTCACATAGGTCTTCGAGAAGACCGAGGGTATGCGGCCGTTAACCATGATTCCAACAATTCAACCGATACTGTGACGTTTAGAAGAGAAAATGTGGTTAGATTATAATCGCACTTTTCAACTTGCATCCTAGCACTTTTTCAATAATTTATAGAAGCAAATTAATGGAAAATGTTATAGCTGCACAAACGCGTAATATTTATAATATTTGCAACTATTTTAACGCACAATTCTTTAATTTTTTGGCAGCCGGCAAAATATACGTACGCTCGGTTTGATGTGTCACGCTGAAAGAAAGAGTGATGGAAAACTAGAGATGTGAGTTGCTTAACAGCTGCAAAGTGGCGAATACTTGCTGTTATGTGTGGAGCATAGTCATGTTCTGTGAGGAGCAAACATGTTATGAGAAAAAAACAGTGTGGCAACTCTTAAATCGTTTTGTGTGAATGGCAAAGCGCATTTTTTAAACGAATGGGCAGCACTGCAAAATTGCCAACAGATGGCGCTGTACAACGAACAAGTTTTTTATATTTAATTTAATATTTAAAAGAATTAGCAACTTGCCACAAATAGTGGCTTTGATTTATATCAATAATTATTCACCACCTTCGAATAAATCTTGACATCCGCTTTCCATTTTTTGAATGCGGCCACGCGAAAATTGAATATATAATTTCCCTTAGGCGCAGGTATTTCGGTAACTAAACTATTATCACTGACTGTTCCGTTGACGATAACATCCTGCTGTTGGAATAGAAACGGCTTGTGTTGCATGTAAATTCAAAATATGAGTATTGCAACAAACAAACCTGAACGGGACACGTGTAATTCAAATTCGAACATTTGAATACGGGCAAAACGGCAAAATTGAAAAGTCTCGATGCAAAAGAGCGACTACTGAGGGCACAATAATCGATCGTCTCATTTATGATGGGCATGCGGTAGGTTTTTGTGATACGATAGAGAGCCAGGTTTATCTGAAAGTTGTTCCAAGTATATATAAACTGGACATTTCTGGGTACTTACGGTAATGTCATCGATGGGCTCCTTGTAACGCACGGCTACATAAAAATTGATTTTGGTGCGTGCATTTTTGCTCCACATTTCGCAGCTCTTGAAGTAGCAAAAGGCCAGATCCAATGAATTGCACTCTGCCCTAGAAGTTCGAAAGAGCATTGCTCGGCTGTCTTGTGTAAGGCAAAGCATCGAGAGTAGCCGCAACAACAGGAACTTCTGCGCCAAGCGACATTTCATGTTTCCAACTCAGCTGTCAAATTGCGACTGATTCCGTTGATCGAAGCTATTTTATAAAAATAAACTATAATAACACTTAATTGCTTCATATTATGCCAATCTATAATCGGGTTCGATTTAACCAAACAATTATTTGTTTGCCCATGTTTGAATTACCTTAACTATAAATATATTCTTATCCAGATTAATATAAATATACTTTTTAATATGCACCTAACCTCAAATTCAGCAACACGCGAATGATTATGTGCCATATCTTGACATATAACTGAGGAGAAGTGAAAGGGCAAGAGCGAGCGAGAGGGAGAGAGAAACAGAAAGAGAGAGAACATGCATTTTGACCAGACTTAGTTGCCAAATGCCAAATCTAGCAAATCTGAAAATCGTATGACATTTGACCGGACTGTGCGAAAGTTTGACCTATGTCTATATGGGTTATAATCTTAGACCCCTCCATTTTCACCAAAGAGGCATGGATTTTGCAAAATGTCGGAAACACCCATCGAATGCGTTTTGACATGAGATCTTTGAACATTTTGGGCAGCAAAAAAGTTTCATACAAAGTTCTTTCACGATTATTCCACACATACGGGTGGAATTGCCCATAACTGTTTTTCTTAATCACATAAGGCAAGTGTGGAAAATTGGCGAAAAGCTGTTTCAAAATCATAATTTCTTTAGTGGTCAGCTTAATGTCAATCAGATCGCGTTACATATATCTTAAGTTCCGCACGCCAGACCTTAGATACCGAAAGCTTCAGATACAACATATAGTCACCATTCGGCATGGGCAGATCCATCAATGCACCCTTCTCGTATGAGAATCGATTAATGATGATATCGTGCTGTTAAGTGAGAATAGTTAATACAAAATGTTAGTTGAGAAATGTTACTCACATTGTAGGGACACGTGTGATTGAAGTTTGAGACGGCCACGAAAGTCCTGTGGAAGGAGTGGAAGAACAGATAGGCCTTCGGATTGCGCATATAATAGCAGAAGTCGAGACTCTGATTGAGCAGGAATGAGCGATAGCCATTCGATTTCTTGAACAGCTCCAGATTAATGAATATATTGTTCACCGGCGTCTGATGCAGCACGCTGTGCATACTAAAGGCGGCCACGCCCCGCCGCTTAATGGTCAGCTCGCATTGCCTGAACTCACAGTACGTCAAGTCATAGCAGCGGCAGGCCACATTGTTCAGCTTGAAGTGGGCGCCACGCACGATCTCTGGCAGGGCTTCGCAAATAATTAATACAACAATCATATAGCGCATTTTGTGATTTTGCCAGCTAAAGCTCTAAGGCGCAACTGATCAGTGCATTTCATTTTCGATGAACAAAAAAAGCGAGTGCTATTAAAAGGCAATTAAAAAGAAGTTAAACTTCAGTTGAGCTTCAGATATGCCCTATGAATATGGGTATAGCGGAGCATAAAAAGCTGCTAGCTTAGCTGCACCTTGGACAACCTGTCGTATGATTAATATATATATAATTGAGTGCCTTCAAGTTGACTTACTTTTATGGCGATGCAGTTGGCATTGTTCTACCCAACTGATTCAAGGCAGACTTGGCTCTCAGCTTGGTCTGAGTCTGTTTGATTCTTGCAGTCATTCAAACACATGCCAAGGTTGGGCAACTGTTTAATGGAGCAACTCCAAAATATAAAAACTCTTTCAGTTCTTAAGGCATCCAAGCCGTGTTTCGCACAGCTTAGCAAGCCTCACGCAAAGAAAAAAAAAAGTACATTCCTTTTATAGGGTATTTGTGATTCGGCACTGCGAATATGTGAATTATTTATATTCTTCCTATTATTGGCTTTATTGACAAATAATTATCGGGCTATTAAGCTAGATGTGGCTTGTGTCTATTTTATTAGAATACTAAAAGTGACATATGACATGCCTGAGTTGGCCCTTTGGCAACAAGTTTTTGTTTGCTTTATGCCCCGAAAAGTTTTGCACTAAACAATGTGCATTAGTTTGAAATATGCTTAAAAGTTGAAGTCGATTTCGGTGACCGCACGCAAAGTTTCAAAGTGGCGCACAGTTTTCATTGTGCCACATGTGGCACATGGCACGACTATCGATGCATTGCTGCTCGATTTGTTTTATTACCCGGCGAATGTTTTGTTGTCTCTCATATCACTTAGTGGCAAGTGGCACGTGGCAAGTGGCAGGTTGGCAGTTTCCCTTGGTGCTTCAGTGCACGCGAACGAAACGAATGTACGAAAGTTTTAATTAGACAAATTATAAGTTTCGCCACGTTGCAGCTTAAACTTGAACCAATGCCAACTTTAATATTCATAATGTACATAAAATTCGCAATATTCATGTTCTTAACAAGCTAGCTACCTGTGTTACCTGTGGCAGCCACGCAGCCTTGCAACAGGCAGCAGCTCAACAGTTTCCGCCAGAAACTTTTGCCATTTGGGACAGCCGCTTGTCAGCTTTGGCCATATTATTAATCCTTATTGGCCGCTCGGCACACAGTTTGTTGTAGCTGCCATAAAAGTTGATTGGCTCTTAACTGATTCTCTTGGCCTTCGGCAGCGCGCGTCAGCTCTTGTTAATTGATGTACTTTAAATTGGCACAGGCCGGGTCGGGAATAGGGTCTTAAGGCAAGGGAACATCGTGTGCAAGCAAAACATGTCGCAGCGCCTTTTTTTCAATTTAAGCAGCATGTGTGCAGCATGTGCATGTGTCGTATGCGTGATATGCCATAAATTGTGCCCACAATGAAGTGTCCCTTTTGGCCAAGGACGTTCGCCGTGCGCTGACAGGCTCAAATAACTAACCAGAGTAAGCAAATGGTGCAAATGCCTGGCGACATCTTTGCCACCGCTTGAACCGGAAACGGATATACAATTTTAGTAATTTTTGTGAGTGACCAAGGCAGCATGGGCCAACACAAAAAAAAAAAAACAAAAAGGAAATTGCCAAAAATAACACAAAGCAGCAGAAACAATAACAACTAGAAGAACTTTAGGTTTAACAGTTGCTCAGCGTTGCGTGTTGCTCTTCATCTGGCGTTTTGTGTTTGTTTTTATTGGCGTGAAATATGTAATAATGGATTTTCTTGCTTCTTTGTCATGTGTGTGTATGTGTGTGTGTGCGTTGATTTTCTTGGCATTGGCCTAAGCTGAGTGTCCTTGTTCTTGCCATTGTTCTGCTGCCAAGCGATGTTTTGTTGCTCGCATTTTGTGCCCTCTGTTTTGGGTCTAGGCCTCGTTTTTATGAGCCCAACTTGATGAAGTTATGTGCGTGTGCAGGACTATGTGCTCTATTTGATGGTAGTTTATGCACATACTGCCCTGTCTATAGTGCTTTTTTACTGTTCTCTGCCAACAAAATGCCAGAAAACGGCTAGCAAAAAGTGTTGCATACTTGCGGGCGGGCAGTTGCCCTTTGTCTCAGGGCCCTGACGGAAGTTTATTTAATAGAAATTTACAAGCTCTTCCAGCTGTCTTTTTGTGCAGCGCATTTGCAAGTCTGCCAGCTCGACTATTTATATTTTGGCACTCCATCTACTGGTCCGCCTTTTCGTCCATGGCCTTTTGTCAAGTTGTGCGCGTGCGAAAATGTGCCTAAGGTCAGGGCCGAGGGTACAAGCAATTTCGTTTATTGAAACCCACCATCATATGTGGCAAGTACTCTGCGCTGGTCTGCTTGGCCTGAGTCTGACTATGAACATTTTATTTGGTTGCGACTGGTGCATAAATCCGTCTGCCCACATAAACCGGATACGGTGCAATATTGCCTTTGGCAACATTACATTTGGCAAGTGCCTTGGGACTGTTCTGCGTACCCTGCTTAAGTTTAAATGGGCTAAAAGGGTTGATTGCTGTTACATAAAGCATAAGTACATAGCCAAGTTTATCTAAACATACTTTCTTGTGTGCAACATAAAAACAAATGACAACTGTTGTTAAAATTTGTTTAAACTTCTCTGCGAAATTCCATTTCAACTTACAGCTACTTGAAGCTGAGTGGAGGGTAGCTTCTAGTCGGATATTTTTATCTACTGCCATTTTTTTTTTATTATATTCAAATATTTTTAGTTTGCTTTGTCAAAAGTCACTAAACAATTTTCGCGCTTGGTTTTTTGTGTCGTGCAAAAACTTTAAAACGTTTTGCATTATTAGTTTTTTGTAGGGTTGGCTGTGTGGTGATTTAGGGGGTGGGTAGTGGGGGGGGGGGGGGGGTGACAGTTGCAGGAGCAGCGCACTCAGATATAAAATCGAATCTATTGCAGTTGAGTGAATGGCGTCTGCAGCAGGGTATAGGCAAAGGGGGCAGGGGCAGGGCAGCAAGGACTGCAATTTTTGACTTCGCAAATAGGTATTTTTTTTTTGGGTTTTCTCATCGATGATTGTTGCATGTTGTTGTTGTTGGTTTGGGTTGTTGTGTGCGCATTTGCCTGATGTTGATTGGATTAGAATGTTGCACGAGGAGCAGCAGAGCAGCAGAGCAGCGCATAAATATTTATAAATGTAAGCATTTCCTGGCAATCTAAGGGCAGCCTCTGATTGCTGGCCAAATAAATAAAGTTTTTCCCTCCGACTCTTTCTCTATTTTTATTTGTATCTCTGCCCCGCCCCAATCTGCCAGTTAGCTATATTAATTTGTTTGCTGCTGCTGCTGCTGCTGCTGCCACTCCAATGCTCTATTGTTATTCTCTGTGGCACTTGAATGTGCCTGCCTCTCGCACACGTGCAACATGCCGTGTCCTATGGCGTTTGGTCCTGGCAGCCCTCTTTGTTGCTTGCCTGCTTTTTGGGGGCAGCCTGCTGCTGCGTAAACAATTATTCGCTTTTCATGCCCCAAAATAGAACCACTTTTGGGCAGCGGGCGTATTGTGACTTTGACAAAGGCAAAAACTAAAATACATTTTATTTCTAACACTCTATCATTTTTCTTTTTGTATATGTGTGTGTGTGTGTGTGTGTGTGCGTCTACATTAATCGATCACAAGTGACCTTTAAATGTTACCAAACGAACTTGCAAACTTTGCAGCGCAGTCGGGTCTAGGGTAACTCCTAGTCGAG